AGAGTTGTTGTTCTTGAGGCTTCGGGATGACAGCAAGTTGTGCAGCCGGACAGCGTGGTTCATCGCAAATGGCCAGTACTTGGTTGGGACGGCTGACTGCTTCATCAGGGCCCTCATCCTGGTGGCAAGGCTCCTATCTGTCCGTTGTGCTACGCCTTGCTGCTCGTGAGCGTAGGGCAGGGATACCAGGTGCTCAATCCCCTTCTGCTTGTTGAGAAGACCCCCACCCCCGTCAGTTTGGTAGGTTTTCAGCTTCAGTCCAGACTGGCGTTCAGCCTGCTTCATCCATGCCACGAAGCATTCAAAGGCAAGAGAGAGGCAATCGGTGTTGATGGCCCAGACGTAGCGTGTGCATGCGTCGATGAAGGTAAGGGTGTAGGATTCACCGTCGAGCCCGCTTTGACTTAAAACCATGAAATCGCTGTAGACTTTCTCCAGCGGCTTGTAGCGTTCGTAACCGGGAGGTAAGTCCGGAAAAGGTTTGTGGGCGAGTGACGCAGTTGGGCACACGGTGCAGGGCAGGTCAGCCGATTCTGCTGTGAGGGAGCCTCCTCGAGGAAGAAGCAGCGCGTCGTCGTCGAAGACTCCGGCCTTGAGAGAATTCTTGAGCATGATGTGCGAGGGGTGTCCGAGTCGCTGGTGCCATGTTTCCGGTTCCGCACGGTACCCGACTGTCTTCTGATAGTATTTGTTCCTATCTGATGCGTCGTTCTGCTCCTTTTCAGGTCTTATGTCGGTGGCGGCGTCAGTGTCAGTTGCGAAGGCCCGAATGGAGTCCCGTTCCAGAAGCACGCGGGGAATCCCGATGATGTCGTCGGTGTCGCCGGCGTGAACTTGCTCGCCGGTGACGAGAAGATACTGAGATGGTGGCGCCTTGGGCCAGTCGGCGACGGGAAGTCCTTTCATGGGAATTCTGAAGTAACTGTATTCGGCGCCGATGACCTCGATCTGTTGTGGCCCTTGTTCTGGTAGCGGCGGCTCCTCGGTAGGTTCTGGTAATTCTGCTGCTTCCTCGAAAAAATCATAATTTACCTCTTCCTCTGATTCTTCTTGCATCGGTTCTGGTGTGTCAGGAGCGTATTGATCCGGGAGAGGAGGTCCGCCCCAGCTGGTGCCACGTGTTGCCCAGTATGGGTCAACAGCCGCGGCATCCGCAGGAGGGAGTCCCGGAGCTTCGGGATAGGCAGGGGCAGCTTGCCCCCATCCTCCATCGCTTGTTGAAGTTCCCCAGCCGCCTCCGGTTCCCCAGCCGCCTCCGGTTCCCCAGTCGCCTCCGGTGGCAGCGCCAGCCTCCGTTGGAGTAGTGGCGCCGCTTTCGGATGCCGAGATAGTGCCCCGTCCTTCTGCAGCTGCTTCTTCTGGCGTTAGGACTTCTCCCAATGGGCCGACTGCTGGACCGGCACTCCCCAATCCTGTCCCAGCCTTTTCGCTTTCCTCGGTGATTGGTTTCACAGGTGCTGACGTGGCACTGTCCCCTTCCATTGTTGCAGGTCCAGTCTCAGCCGGGTTGGAGGTCGAGGCAGTTGGAACGGTGCGAAGTCGAAGAAGACCGTCGGAAGCAGGTCGCTCGAGGTCCATTTTGGTGGGATGCGACCATGTTGGTGGCTCCGAAGGAGTTGTTTTGAGCAGCAGAGTGCGGTCAGAATCTCCAGTGGTGCCCTGAGCTGAGAACTCCAGTACGAAGACTCCGTCATCGTCAATCGCCTTGCCGATGTAAGAATTGTTGTAGAAAAGCTCAAAGGCCTTGTCCTTGCAGTTGCTGCGAATGTCAACTCCGCACCGCATGAGTTGTGCCGATGAGAGCAGGTTGTAACTCAGATCTGGGGCGAGAAGCACATCACCGATGTGAATGGTGAACTTGGTGTCATCGGCTTCAAGGTAAACTTCGCCGATGTCGTATGCCTTGAGTGTGGTGTTGTTCGCAACTGTGATTTCGCACGGTCGTCGCATGCGTTTTGAGTTGCTGATGAACGTTGGTGATCCCACCATGTGTTGTCCGCATCAGCTGTCCATGTACCAGGTGTTGATGTTCTCGCGGCTCTGTCGCACGATGTTGGCGATTTTTTGTGTAATGACGCGATCGAAGTCACCGGTGTATGGTGAGAGAGCGAAGTACCTGTTCGCCAAAATACTGGGAAGGGATTCCGGCGTCGGCGGGGGCAGCTCGAAATCAGGCGGGATGTTGGTTGGGCGGTCGATCCAACTATGGATGGTGGGATCGTTTTCTTGACTAGGTGCAATGGGGTTGATGGGCGCGATAGGCGGGTATTCGATGTTGTCATAGTATCGAATGCCTCTGCGGCGCCGTGCCATGCAGCTCATGATCGTTCCCTTGCCCTTGTCTTTGTTGGAGATGCATGCAGGAGTTTGAGAAGTGCTTGCTACCGAAGGTGGTGACACGGTCGAAGTTGTAGCAGGAGAAGCCGAGGGTGCCGAGGGCTGCTGACTGGCGGGGTTGTTGCGCCTCTCGTCAGAGGCCTTTCGCTTGTAGCACCGATCGATATTGTGCCCAGGCTTCTTACAGTATTTGTAGAAAGTTCCTTTCTTGCCGTGCTGCTCCCCTTCAGTTGCTCCAACATAGAAGACTAACTTCTCCCGCTTGGTGTTCTTCTCATTATACAGGTCGATTTCCTTTTGCTCTTAGAGGAGCGTGGCGCACAAAGCCGACTCGGAGATGGTTGCTCGAGCATGAAGCAACGATTGGCATTGACGCCAGTCAGGTCCGAGGCCGGAGAGAACCATCAAGACGAACATGTCGTCAGGGATGGATCCGCCGCACTTCTTAATGTGGTCGCGCAGATTGCGGCACCGGTTGATGTATGGTCCCGCTTTCTCTCCTTGTTGCATTTTAACCGATGTAAGTTGGCTGAGTAGGCGACTCATTGTGACGGGATCTGTTGCCATGTATGAGTTGCGCAGGTGCTCCCAAGAAGAGTATGCAGGTGCCCACTCTGATTTATAGGAGCGAATGCCAAGCTGCTCGGCGGGAGAGAGGTTTCGGAGGAGGGTGGTGTACGCGAGAAGAGACTCGTGGTATTATTGGTTCTTCTTGTGGATGGTGCCTTCCGTCGGAAACGGTAAGCTTCCATCGTAGTACATCCAGATTTGCGCGGTTGTTGCGAGGAGCTCGAATTCGAAGCTCCACGTGTAGAAATCCTTGCCGTCGAAAGGAACCGATGTCTTCAGCTTTGAGGTTAGAACGAACTTGGTTTGCATTATCGCAATTGCTTCTGACTGTGTGCGATGTTGACTGTCTTGCGCAGGAGCTGAAGCTTGACGGTTGTCAAAGGTAAATAACCTCTCGGAGTTGACGCGGCGGTCTTCTCCAGGGAGAGGGAGTCCAGCAACTCCACGTGCGTAGCTCAAGCCATCGATGCTCGTGGCTTGATGGCTCTCAAGAGCGTTGATGCGGGCGACCAGCTGCTCAACGAGAGCGGCGCTGACGGAGGTCCCTGCTGATGGTGCAGTGGGCGTTGCTGGTGGTGGGCCCGGAGAATCTGCAGTCCCCTTTTCAGGAGCCATAGTGATGTAGGGTGTGTAATGGTTTAACGAGTAATTTATAAAGAGGTTGTTCTAGAAAGAACGAGAACTTAACAGTCCTTATAATCCACTCTAGCTCTCATACCATGTTGTTATATCTGAAGGATTGTAGTGAACAGAATAAGGCTGTCAAGTTAAGGAAAGACTATGAAGTCTCTGAATGACCTTGTCAATAAGATTGAAAGAGAACAAGATGGTTAAAGGATAGTGATACGAGGAAGAAATAGCAATCCTAGCTAGCCTGTACTCTGAGGGGTACATTCCCTTATTAACCGAATTGCATTGCTACATTAACCACGACTATTGCTATTCTTGACAGTTACCATCTTGACAGTTACCATGTTGCAGCGCGTAACTACCAAGTGCGGTTACTGGGCAGTCAAGGGTCACGACCGTTGACTGTCTTCGAGTGTTGACCTTCGGGTGACCCTCGACCTTCCGCATGCTCTATATGAGCTAATGCGATACTGGTACATGCACGTTACTTCGTTATGGAGTGACGTGCGAGTGGAGAGCCTTCAGGAATGTTATGATAACCTTTCGGTTATTCCAAGTTATTATGATGAAGTTGCACCACCTCCACTATAGCATTTACGGTACATTTCTCTTTTGATATATGAAAGTTCCATATATAGTTATCCATACATCGGCAGTCGTAATTGTCCAGTTCCTTTTCATTTTGCAGTTACAGATCCACAGTTCGTCTCCGAATAATGGGCCGGCCAGCTTTTGACAGTCCCTTAGGATTTTGTGAAGTACAAACGGTACTTAGGATTCTGTAAGACAGTTTGGACTTTGTCAGATCGGATTTGGACTAATCAGGAATTCGCGTCGCGCACTACTAGCTGCCAGCGCAGCATAGGCCACACTGTCTCATAACGCCGTTCTGATTGACGGCTGGCTCTGTTCCCCGGTCTGTTCTGGACTGATTTCCCTTACCTTGTGTGGCCCGGCCTGCGTGACATCGCTGAAACATCGGCCCCTTCCAGGTCCAGACCCTTGGACTGAAGAGTAGAACCCTCGGCCCGTGTAGAGTGGGTGACGACTGGCCGGTCTGGACCCGGCAGCAATTCCAGGTCCAGACCCTTTCCCCTCTGTGCAGGACGTTTACTCGTGCCGCGGACGAGGAGCCGGCGTCGCATTGCAAGGACCAATCGCAATGCAAGGACCCGTCGCACGGCAGTCGCAAGGACGACGAATATCGCACCGGCGGCACTGCCTCCCATAAACGGCGAGTCACCTTTCCTGTCTATCTTCATTGGCGTCCTTACCCGTGACCACGTTGGTCCTCATCTCGTTCCATGTCCTCGTTATTGACCGATCCTTCATTTTTTCCATGCCTTTCCAGTGGACAAACTAATCCAGAGGTTCGTTGTTTTTTCCCCAAAATTCCGTCGTACCCCATCTCACAACTCCCCCTCTCCTCACACACTCCCGGCGCCCCGCGCGCGTGTGGCCAGGCAGCGAGAGGACTCCAGCGAGACGAACAGCAACAAGGCCAATCGGGAGAAGATTCGCCGCGACCGACTCAACGACAGGTGCGTGCTTGGTGGTTGGCGAGTTAGTGCGTCGATGGTGGTCCGGGCTGGGTGCTGTCGATGCTCCATCACTCGCTTCCCCGTCATTCCCTTTCGTTTTTCTTGAAAAAGTGCGGCTGTAACGTTTCCTTGCCTGCTTTTTTCTTGATTCCTTTCCTTTCAGCTCTGCCCTTCCCTCTCTTTCCCTTCATCCCTTTCTTTGTTACCTCCCACCTCCCGCCCCCCTACCGCAGGTTTGAGGAGTTGGCGCGGGCGCTGGAGCGGAGCGAGCTGGCGCGCGCGGACAGGGTGAGCATTCTGGTGGATGCCGTGCGCGTGCTGGCGCAGCTGCGGGCGGAGACGAGCCGGCTGAGGGGCTCCGCGGAGCACATGAGCGAGCAGATCCGCGAGCTCAAGGTGAGCGGGGGGGGGGGGGGGGGGGGGGGGGGGGGGGGGGGGGGGGGAGAGGGGTGGGGGGAAAGGAGGAGGGAGAAAGGTGTTTTTTTTTTTTTTTTCATACATAAGTGTCTCCATTCTTATCAAGTCTTTTGCCACGCTTGTGCCATTCAGTCTGTGACTTATGCCTTGTGCATTTCGCGCCCTGGGCCGTACACACATTCCCTGTGCACAGGCGGAGAAGAGTGAGCTGAGGGAGGAGAGGGCGCGCCTGCTGGCCAACAAGCAACATCTGGAAGACGAGGTCCGGCGCATGGCTGCATCTGGTGCCGCCCAATCCACCGCTGCCACGTCAGCAGCAGCATCAGTGGTTTCCGCCGCCCGGCCAACAGCTGCTACTCCTCCTCTTGGATTTGCTCCGTGTGCTCCGGGTTCTCCTGGTGCTATTCCCTTGATGCTGCATCCAGTGTGTGAGCCGGGCAAGCTGGCTCCAATGGGAGCACCCATGGGCCTGATGCCCTTACCGTTCATGCCTGGGGGGATGCTTCATCCTCTCTCCCATCCCCACTCTCACCTTCACCGTCCTCACCCTCGCACCGTGCAAGGCAAGTGTCCCCCTGCAGGCAACCACCTTGGTACAGGTCACCCTGTTCCAACCCGTCCTGCTACTGCTGTTGCTGCTGCTGGTGGTGGTTCAGCCGGTTCAGCTGGTGCCGCTGGTGATGGTGCTGGTGCTGGTGGTGGTGGTTCAGCTGGTGCTTCTGGTGCTGGTGCTGCTGGTTCACCTGCTGCTGCTCGTGCTGCTGGTTCACCTGCTGCTGCTGCGGCTGCTACTGGTGGTTCAGCCGGTTCAGCTGGTGCTGCTGCAGCTGCAGCTGCACCTGGTGCACACTACCTGCATTTGCCTGCCATGCCATATGCCATGCCAGGAATGCCGCCCATGGGCATGTGGCAGTGGTTACCACAACCAGTTGTTGAGTCCTCTTATGATCACGCGAGCACGCGGAAGCGATCCCGCATTCGCCCGTGTTTTACTGTTTGAGCGCGTATGAACCTTTGAGATTCTCCAGAGCGTCGTAGTTTTTCCAGCCACAGCTTTTCCGTACTTGATCAGCTCGAGGCTTTTCAACGGCTGCTCGCTGCTGTCGCCTCTCGTCTCTGCTCGAAGCCATTTTGTCGAGCGTATTGCTTGCTACGCCTTGCCTTAGCTGCTCGATTCCTGTTGTTGCGGAAATCCCAAAGGTAGCGCTCTGGGTACCCTTGGGATTTCCGCGCTTTCGACGCGCGGGGCTGGCCGGCTGCCTTTTTTGTTCCTTTTCCCTTCGTTTCTATTTCGATACACGAGGTTACTCGGAGCAGCATTTTATACGAGATTCTTGTGACCGTTGTGGTTCTTGTAACATAGTACGACGGTCACTTTATAAAAGAAACACTCTCCTACGAATCAAATCTTAGCAGACCAATGGCTGGGGACGACGGAGCGGAACCGCGGCAGCAGGCGGAAGGCGGAACTGCGCACAGCCACGATCATTCGCTCGACGACGGTCATGCGGCGCACAGCCACGGCCATGCCGCGGATTCGCACGCGCACGCTCATTCGCACGACGACGACCATCACCACCACCATCACCACCACCACGACCACCACAACCATCCTGCAACGTCAGTGATCCCTTGAAGCCATTCTCGTTACCGTGATCTAGCGCGTCTTTATGGCCGCCAATCGTTGATGCGTGCATTCCTTTTTTTATTCCATCCCTTTTTTCCGTTTCTTCTCCTTTCCTCGTCTTGATGTTTGCTCTATTTCCTTGTCAAATCCAGCGGCGACGCGTCAGCACCGGCCGACGAGTTCCACGGCGCGGACGGGCGGGTCTACCACTCGCACGACGGGCTCGCGCCGCACTCTCACGAGCCGCTCGACAGCGCGGGGAGCTTCGCGCTGCGCGCGCCGCCCTTGCCAAACCGCGACTTGGCGGAGCGCGCGTTTACTGTTGGAATCGGCGGGCCCGTCGGATCAGGGTATGCGAGGGGAGGGAGAGAGGAAGAAGGGGGGGGGAGAGAGGAAGGCGGAGAGGGAGGAAAGGGAGGGGAATGGGGAAAAAGATGTGAAGGAGTGGCGGAAGGGATGTGGCGCTCGTGAATTGAGGGGGGGGGGGATAGGGGGGGGGGGGGGGGGTAAAAAGGGGTGGAGAAGGATCAGAAGGGGTGCATTTCGCGCCACTCGTGGGAGGGAAGGGGATGGGAAGCATGGGAAAGGGCAAGAAGGGGTGCTTGGCAAGCAAGCAGCATGCAGTGTGGCCGGGCTTATGGGGAATCTATTTTTGTTGAGGCGTCTCAACAATAGGCCCCGGCCATGGGGAAAGAATGAGGCATCTTGGCATCGTCCAAGCAATGCAGTTGCTGCAGGTGCTCGTCAGGTGCTCTGTCAGGTGCTCTTCAGGTGCTGTTCAGGTGCTCGTGTGGTGCTCTTCAGGTGCTCGTGTGGTGCTCTTCAGGTGCTCTTCAGGTGCTCGTGTGGTGCTCTTCAAGTGCTCTTCAGGTGCTCTTCAGGTGCTCGTGTGGTGCTCTTCAGGTGCTCGTGTGTGTGCTCTTCAGGTGCTCTTCAGAGAGTGGCCTAAGGACCGAGGGATGAAGGCGTGAGCCATTAGCTCATGATACCATGTAGAAAAAGAGAATTGATACATTGAATAATGAGCCAAGAGGCCCTTTAGTACAAACAATGAGCAAGAGAGAGATGAGAGGGAAGCTTACCCTATTGGCCAATAAGTTGGCCAATGGGTGAGCTTGCTTGTGGCCCAAGCAACCACAAATGTCTGTTGGTTGGGATTGGTTCAGCTAAGGACCAATCCCAACCAGCCACAAAATGTGGTTGGAGGGTACACTAAACAACCCCCCAATTTATAAATGTGCTACACATCTAATTCTAGCCTATGTATGTTGTATAAAATATGATATTACAACACAACCCCCCAACATGCATAAGGCTAGAAGGCCAGAATCAGGAGGCGGGAGGCGACTTAGGAGGAGTGAGGCCAAGGAGACGAAGTAGTGAAGAGTGAGCTGCATGAGGAAGAGCTTTTGTGAAGATGTCGGCAAGGTTGGCCGCCGAGTCAACCTTATCGAGCCGAAGGTGCCCCGCCTGAACAAGATCGCGAATTAAGAAATGACAGAGCTCAATGTGCTTGGAGCGCCCGTGAAACACAGCATCCTTAGTGAGGTGAATGGTACTGCCATTGTCACATCAGATGGTGGGACAGCGTTGGGGGGCACCAAGTTCCTCAAGAAGGAAGGTGAGCCAGCGGGCCTCTTGCGCAGCCATGGTGGCGGCATACAACTCTACCTCGCAGGAGGAGAGGGCGATAGCAGAGGAGCGGGTGGAGCGCCAGCTGATAAGACCGCTGCCAAGAGAGAATCCATAGCCCTGGGAGGAGCGACGATCCGGCCGGGAATTAGCCCAGGAGGAGTCACTGTAGCCGCTGAGAAGAGGTGGGGAGGGGCCGCCAAGGGTAAGGACATAATCCTTGGTGCCACGAAGGTACCGGAGGACACGCTTGGCGGCCTGCCAGTGCTGTTCCGTATGCTTGCCCGCGCCAACAAAACGAGCGAGGACGCTGATGGGGTAGGCAAGGTCAGGGCGAGTAGAGACCATGGCGTACATGAGGGAGCCGATGAGCTCGGGATAAGGATGGGAGGAGGTTGAGGGGGAGGTGAGTGGCGAGAGGTGGTGCCCGACAGAAAGAGGAGTATGTTGGGCACCGCCCCGGGCCATGTCAAACCGCTCCAAGACCTGCTGCAAGTAGTGACCCTGGGAGAGAGAGATGGTGCGAGCGGAGCGGTCGCGGGTGATGGTCATGCCCAGGTAATGCTGCAGCTCTCCCAAGTCCTTGCACTTGAGACGGCTACCCAACTCAGCCTTAACGCGCTCCAACTCAGCAAGGTCGGCAGTGAGCAAAATCATGTCATCGACATACACAAGGATGTAGAAGGGGGAGGGGGAGGCGCGGAGGAAGAGGCTGGCGTCGGAGCGGGAGGTGCGAAACCCAAGTTCAGCAAGGGTGGCGGCAAGCTTAGCATGCCACTCCCTAGGGGCCTGTCGGAGCCCATACACAGGCCGACGCAGCTGCCAGACAGAGTCTGCTGGGAAGGGAAGGTGAAAGCCGGCTGGACGCTCCATGTAGATGAGCTCGCGGAGGACGCCTTGCAGAAATGCGTTAGAAACGTCCATCGGGTGGATTTCCATATTGAGGCGAGCGGCGAGGTCGAGGACGGCGCGAACGGTAGCAGGTTTAGCGGTAGGGGAGAAGGTGTCGAAGAAGTCGACAGCATACCGCTGCGTGAAGTCTTTGGCACAGTAGCGAGCCTTGTAGACGGGCGGCTCCCCTGGCAGCTGCTTGACGCGAAACACCCACTTCCCCTTCACCACGTTCGTAGAGGCGGGAGGGCGAGGCACATCAACGAAGGAGGAGTTGGCGATAAATGCCTCCAGCTCTTTGATGATGGCAGCGAGCCAAAGAGGGGCGTCGGGGCAAGCCATTGCCTCCTCATACGTGGTAGGGATGAAAATGGAGGGAGCAGAGGAGAAAGCGAAGACGGGTGTGCCGGAGAGGTCGAATGTGATGGGTAGAAGCGAGGGGTTACAAAGGTGGAGGTCAAGGAACTCCTCATGGGAGTCCTCAGAGAGGGAGGTGTGGAAGGCGGGGATGGCTGCTGGTGCTGCCGCTGGTGCCGCTGCTGGTGCCGCTGCTGGTGCCGCTGCTAGTGCCGTTGTTGGTGCCGCTGCTGGTGCCGCTGCTGGTGCCGCTGCTGGTGCCGCTGCTGGTGCCGCTGCTGGTGCCGCTGCTGGTGCCGCTGTTGTTCCTGTTGCTGGTGCCGCTGCTGGTCCTGCTGCTGGTGCCGCTGCTGGTCCTGCTGCTGGTGCCGCTGCTGGTCCTGCTGCTGGTGCCGCTGCTGGTGCCGTTGCGGACGCTGCTGGTGGCGCCGCTGCTGGTGAGGGAGAGGTGGCAGAGGGGGCTACTGCAGGAGGAGGTTGATGCAAAACAGCCTGGAAGAAGTGGTGAAGGAGAGGGGAGAGAGGGGGGAGGGTAGAGGTAGATAGGGTAACAGGGGGCGGTGCACCAAGGATACCGTCACACGACCTGGTATGGGGGTACCGGGTAAGTACGGTGCGGGGAGGAGGGGGAGGACGGGTCGGTGGCGAGGGAGGGGAGGGGAGGGGGGGAGGGGCACTGGGAGAGGAATGTGTGGGGGAGACAGGAGAGGACAGAGGGTCCGGGTCAAAGATCTCACCAAACGAGGGAGGGGCACCGTGGGACGGGGACGACGGAGGGGGGGGAGGCGGGAGGATGGGGGGAGGAGGGAGTAATGGGGGAGGGATGGTGTCAGACCAGACAAGGGGACGGGTGAGAGGGGGGAGTGGGTTAGTGGATGGGGGAGAGGAGTAGTAGGAAGTGGACTCATCAAAGACCACATCCCTACTGCGGACTAGACGACCTGAGGGGGGATGGAGGAAAAGGTAGTCAGGTGAGGTGGGGTTATGACCAAGGAAGATGCAGGGAAGGGTGCGAGAGGCAAGCTTTCCCATCGAACGGGAGCGGTCAGAGGGATGAATAAGAACATATGCCTTTGAGCCCCAGACACGTAGAGATGAGACATCAGGCTTGTCCTTTGTCCACATCTCAGTGGGGGTGGTGGAAGGGAGAAGGGGGTGAGGGTAAAGGTTAGTAAGGAGGGCGGCATGAAGGAGGGCGTAGCCCCACAGAGAAGGGGGGCAAGAGGCGTGGACAAGAAGACACCGGGCTGTTTTGGTGATCTCTCGAACACGACTCTCAGCCACACCGTTCTGCTGTGGGGAGTGAGGGAGAGTGTAAGTCTGAAGAATGCCACGAGACTGACAATAGGAGGAGACTTGATTGTTAAGGAACTCCCCACCACCATCAGAGTGAAGGCGGCGAACAGGGCGCCCAAAGTGGGTGTTTGCCCGCTCGAGCCAGGCGATGATCGCAGCCGGGGCGTCCGCCTTCGTCCGAAGGAGAGAGACGGACGAGTACCGACTGTGATCATCAACGAGCACGAGAAGGTAGCGATGACCCTGGCGAGTGGGAGAGGGATTAGGGCCCCAGAGGTCCATGTGAACAAGATCAAGTGGCTGTGCAGCAGCGGAGGGGGAGCTCCGGTGCGGTTGCTGCTTGAGCTTGCTCTGAACGCAGACAGTGCAGGGGGGGGCAGGGGATTTGGGGAGGGGAGGGAGGGAGGAGGGGAGACCGTGGAGGAGACCGGAGGAGACAGAGGAGCGCAAAGTAGCGAAGTTAGGGTGACCTAGCCTGTGATGGAGGAGGATGGTAGGGTGGGAGAGGGAGCGACAGGAACAGTCAGAGTCAGGGGGGCGGGGAGGGAGGGCTGGGTTAGTGGGGGGGAGGGGAGGGGGGGGGGAGGAGAGAGGGAGAGGCGACTTGGCAGGTGGGGAGGCGGGGAAGCCGAAGTGTGTACAGACGGGAACGAGGACAGAAGGGAATACGGGAGAGAAGGCAACCTGTAGCAGTATTGTAAAGGGCACAGTAGTTAGCACCACCTGGGAAGACAGTGGTGATATTGGCTTGTTGGAGGGACCTTTGGGAGAGGAGGTTAGTGCGTAGGGAGGGAATGTGGAGACCGGTGACAGTACCTGAGGGAAAAAGAGGACAGGGAAGGGTGGAGGTGTTGTGACAGGGGATGGAAAAGGTGCTATCCGCACCGAGGAGGGAGGTGGGTGTGGGGAGAGGGCGCAGTGTACCAGCATCACGAAGGACAGTGTCAGTGGCTCCACTGTCCAGGACGAAGTCAAGGGTGGAGGAGGGTGAGGCAGAGTACTGGAACGAAGTTTCATTAACAGAAGAAGGGTACATGGGAGATGCAACAGATTCAGGTTGACCTAGCAAACCAACAAAACCAGAAGAGGGGAAAGCGGTCACACTGCCACCTGCAGACGGCGCTGGAGATGCACCCGAGAGATGGGCTGCGGAGGCAGCACTCCCGGCTGTCCAGGTAGGAAAGGGCTGCTGCTGGGAAACGGGAGGAGGAGGGAGGAGGTGCAGCTGCGGCTGTAGGTCGAGCTGCTGCTGGAGATGCTGGAGCTGCTGCTGGAGCTGAGAAAGGAGAAGCTGCTGCCCATACTGCTGCAACCCCTGCTGCTGACTCCCAAGCTGCTGCTGCTGCTGCTGCTGCTGCTGCTGGGGAGGGGCAAGGGCCTGGTGGGCCTGGGTGGAGGAGGAAGGCTCATAGAGGGGAGAGGAACGGACTTCAAGGGGAGTGGGGCGTGGGTTGAGGGCAGACCAGAGAGGAGGGGTGCCGGTGTTGCCACGGGCAAACCACTCATCACTGAGTGCCTTGAAACATGTCTCAGTGGCATGAGTGGTTTGGCCGCAGCGCTGTCCCTGAGTGGGACCGTAGCGAGGCAGGTACTGACAGGGAGGAAAGGCAGCTGCCGCACCACGACCCGCACCACCGCTACCACTGCCACCGCGACCTGGTGATCCGCCTCGTCCACCCCCACGCCCACCACCACGCCCACCCCCACGCCCACCGCCACGCCCACCCCTGCTGCTGCGCGGCTGAGCTACTGCAACTGTCGAGGTAGAGTGGCGAAGGATCTCGGCTTCGGTGGTAATAATCCACTGAGCAACATCAGCAGGGGTATGGTGCTTGGAGAGAAGTTGCATGTAGGCAAGCTTGTGAGCGTCGAAGGCAGGTGTGAGGCCCTCGAGGAGGTGGCAGCAGATGACAGTGTCCAAGTACACCACATCGAGTGCCGCAAGGCGCCGAGCAAGGTCTAGGACACGGCGAGTGAAGGCAGCGGCGCCAGAAGTGGAGTCCATGGAGAGAGTGCCGAATTCTTTGATGAGGGCGTAGAGGGTGGCAACGTCTTGCCGATCAAAAAGGTCGACGAGGAGTCGCCACAGGTGGGAGGAGGAGGTAGGTGAGAGCTCGCGTTTGAGGGAGGAGGGGATGGTGGCAAGAAGAATGGCAAGCGCGCGCCGATCGGCAACTCGCCAGGCAGTGATTTTCGTGGTGTAGTCGGCAAGGTTTGCAGTGTAGGTGTCAAGGTCCTCCTGGTACTTGCTGTAGCAGGCAGCGGCGTCGTCATAAATGCGCTTCTCGTCCTCGAAACGCAGTTGCTGGCGCAGGTGCTCTTGGAGATTGGTGTGGTAGGTGCGGATGGCAGTCTCCGAGCTCTGCGGATCGTTGACATTTGGTGCGAAGGTGGGAGGATCTCCAGGGGGAGAGGGCTCGGCGCCAGGGTGGGTGGGGACAGGTCCAGTGGGAGCGGTGGGGGCCACGGGCTGAAGTCCACCACCTTCCTGGAAGACAACCGAGCGAAGGTTGTAGCCGCTGATGACAACAGAGGAGAGGAGAACCTCGACCGAGTGAGCGTAGGAGTGCCAATTAGCAGCAGTGTTGTCGGGCAGCAACTCGAGTGCATCAACAGTAGCAAGGTCGACGGAAGAATCCGACGATGCCATAGAGATGAGGGTGGGTGAAAACAAGGGCAGGAGGAGGATGGTGCGAGGGTCCTGCTACTGGTGCCGCTGCTGGTCCTGCTGGTGGTGCCGCTGCTGGTCCTTCTGCTGGTGCCGCTGCTCGTCCTGCTGCTGGTAGGATGGGAGGAGGAAAGGAGGGGTGGAAGGTGGGGGGAGGTGGAGGAGGAGGAGGGGGGGGGGGCGATGTTATAGGGGAGGCAGGGGGAAGGGTGCTGCTGCTTTTGGCGTCGCTGTAGATGCCACTGATGGTGCTGCTGTGGGTAGGGACGAGGAGGGCAGCCCTGTGGCAGATCCGAGCGCGGAAGGAGTAGATCTGGGCGCGGAAAGTGCAGATCTGGTCGCGGGAGGTGCAGATCTGGTCGCGTGGTATGCAGATCTGGACACGCATAGTGCAGATTTGGATGCACGGAGGGCAGCTCTGGTCGCGCGGAGTGCAGATCTGGTCGCGCGGAGTGCAGATCTGGTCGCGCGGAGTGCAGATCTGGTCGCGCGGAGTGCAGATCTGGATGCGCAGAATGCAGATCTGGTAACGAAATGGGGAGATCTGGGCGCGGGAGGAGTAGATCTGGGCGCGGGAGGAGTAGATCTGGGCGCGGGAGGAGTAGATCTGGGCGCGGGAGGAGTAGGTTTGGGCGCGGGAGGAGTAGATCTGGGCACGGGAGGAGTAGATCTGGGCGCGGGAGGAGTAGATCTGGGCGCGGGAGGAGTAGATCTGGGCACGGGAGGAGTAGATCTGGGTGCAGGAGTTGCAGATCTGAGCGCGAGGAGAGCGGATCTGGGTGCTGGGAGGGCAGATCTGGGCGCTGGAAGGGCAGATCTGGGCGCTGGGAGGGCAGATCTGGGCGCTGGGAGGGCAGATCTGGGCGCTGGGAGGACAGATCTGGGTGCTGGGAGGGCAGATCTGGGCGCTGGGAGGGCAGATCTGGGCGCTGGGAGGGCAGATCTGGGCGCTGGGAGGGCAGATCTGAGCACTGGGAGGGTAGATCTGGGCGCTGGAGTTGCAGATCTGGACGTCCGTGGAGCAGTGCCTTGGAGGGCTGCGCCTTATGGGGCGCGCGGGGAGGAAGGATAGCGCCTAAAGGGCACGTGAAGAGATGGCAGCTCCGTTCTAGAAGGCTAGAACTGAGGGACGGGGAGGAGAGAGTGGCCTAAGGACCGAGGGATGAAGGCGTGAGCCATTAGCTCATGATACCATGTAGAAAAAGAGAATTGATACATTGAATAATGAGCCAAGAGGCCCTTTAGTACAAACAATGAGCAAGAGAGAGATGAGAGGGAAGCTTACCCTATTGGCCAATAAGTTGGCCAATGGGTGAGCTTGCTTGTGGCCCAAGCAACCACAAATGTCTGTTGGTTGGGATTGGTTCAGCTAAGGACCAATCCCAACCAACCACAAAATGTGGTTGGAGGGTACACTAAACAACCCCCCAATTTATAAATGTGCTACACATCTAATTCTAGCCTATGTATGTTGTATAAAATATGATATTACAACAGTGTGGTGCTCTTCAGGTGCTCGTGTGGTGCTCTTCAGGTGCTCTTCAACTGTCAGCAACCACATCTCCACCACCCCTTATATCCCCACACTCCTTTTCGCCCGTGTGCGCATTCCCGCATTTCCCGCAGCCACCTTGCAGGAAGTCTGCTCTCATGCGCGCCCTCTGCCGCACGCTCAGGGACAAGTACAGCCTGGCAGCTGTCACCAACGACATCTTCACACCCCCTCCTGCACTCTCCGTCCCCATTCACCCCCATCTTGCAGGAAGACTGCTCTCATGCTGGCCCTGTGCTGCACGCTAAGGGAGCAGTACAGCCTGGCAGCGGTCACCAACGACATCTCCACACCCCCTCCTTCACTCTCCGCCCCATTCCCCCACTCACCCCCAATCCATTCACCCAGAGAAAGACAGCTCTCATGCTGGCTCTGTGTCGCACGCTCAGAGACCAGTACAGCCTGGCAGCGGTCACCAACGACATCTTCACATTCCCTTGTTCACCCACAGAAAGACTGCCCTCATGCTGGCCCTGTGCCGCACACTAAGGGAGCAGTACAGCCTGGCAGCTGTCACTTTTGAGTCGACTTAAAAGACTGCCCTAATGCTCGCCCTGTGCTGCACGCTGAGAGACCAGTACAGCCTGGCAGCGGTCACCAACGACATCTCCATGCAAGAGGACGGCGAGTTCTCCTCATGCCCTCTGCTGCTCCCTCCTCCCTTCCCGCATGCACCCCCAACAACCCCCCTTCACTCATCACAGCAAAACGGCGCTCATGCTGGCTCTCTGCCGCACACTGAGAGAGCAGTACATCCTGGCAGCGGTGACCAACGACATCTTCACACAAGAGGATAGAGATGACAGCTAGCTCCCTCATTTCCTCTGCCCCCCCTTCCCCGCACACCCTCACACAGGAAAACGGCTCTCATGCTCGCACTGTGTCGCACGCTGAGAGAGCAGTACAGCCTGGCAGCGGTGACCAACGACATCTTCACACAAGAGGACGGCGAGTTCCTCATCAAGCACGCCGCCCTCTTGCCGCCCGGCCGCATCCGCGCGGTGGAGACGGGCGGTTGTCCGCACGCCGCCATCCGGGAGGACATCAGCATCAACCTGGGGCCGCTGGAGGAGCTTTCCACTGAGTTTAAGGCGGATATGTTGCTGTGCGAGTCAGGAGGGGGTGAGTGTTACTGTGTTACTCTGGCTTGAAGGGTCTCAAATCATGTCTCCATGCTGCCATGCGAGTCAGGGGGGGGTGAGTGGGAGAAAGGGGAACATGCATGAGTGAAACATCGGGTTGTTTCTCATGTCTGCGTCGGATTGTTCACACGTTGCCATCCATTGGGGAAGACATCAGGCGAAGGTGGGTGGATGGCACTGTGGCATGAATGATTTCTTCTCATGTCCGCATGTGAGTGCCTGTATGTCCGCATGCTGCCATCCAGGAGGACATGAGCATCATCAACCTGGGACCGCTGGAAGAGTTGTCAACACAGTTTGTTGCGGATATGTTGCTGTGCGAGTGAGGGGGGGGTGAGTGAGTGAGACAATGGTATAGTCTCATTCCATGCTTGCATGTGACCGCTGGAGGAGCTTTCAGCGCAGTTTGGTGCGGACATGCTGCTGTGCGAGTGAGGGGGAGGGAGGTGAGTAGCTGTCTGCACGCTGGCAAGCGAGACAAAGAGTCTCTCTTTACGTTTGATTTGCACGCTGCCATGTGAGAGGACAGCAGTGTCAGCCTGGGTCCGCAAGAGAAGCTTGTTTGTTGTGTGATAAAAGGAAGAGGCAAGGGATTCGGCTGTCCCTCCTCGTGCTTCCATTGACACGCCGCTCCGTCCTCCCTCCACGTCCAGTCGAGGCCTTCCGAAACACGACGGCCTTCCGTTATTGATGGTATTATTGCAGCAAGTGGTAATAAAATCTCTGTTGCTGGCCCATGTCCCCATGACCCCATGGCCCCATGTCCCCATGATCCCATGACCCCATGGCCCCATGGCCCCATCTGTCTCCTGATCCATTCCCCTCAGACAACATAGCAGCCAACTTCAGTCGAGAGCTAGCAGACTGCATCCTCGACATGCCGGGGGGGGGGGGGGGGGGGGGGGGGTTGGGGATGCCATGCTGCTTGCCCCTTAACCCATCTATCTCCCCATCCGTTCCCTCTTCCCTACTCTTCCCTACCCTGCTTCTTGCAGACAACCTAGCGGCCAACTTCAGCCGAGAGCTAGCAGACTTCATCATCTATATCATTGACGTGTCGGGCGGCGACAAAATCCCCAGGAAGGGCGGGCCGGGGATCACCCAGGCATACTTGCTGGTGAGGTGGTTGTTGCATGAAGATGTGCGATGGGATTGCCCTGCTAGCCTGCCAGGTGCTGTGGGGATGTGAGGGGGGATAGCTTCCTGAGGAGGGAGTGGAGTGTATGACGGCGAGAGGTAGCAGACTACATCATCTATATCATCGGCGTGTCGGGCGGCGATAAGATCCCCAGGAAGGGCGGCCCTGGGATTACCCAGGCGGACCTGCTGGTGAGAGGAAAGAAGGGTGGTGAGTGGGGGAGGAAAGATGGGGTGGGGGTAGGTGGGGGGGACGATGGGCATGGGCCCTCCCATGCGCTAACCTGGGAATCTTCCATGGTACGGAAGATTCTTGGAAGGGTGATCAGGAAATTGCAGCTTACAAGAATTAGCCATTCGGTCCTCCAGGTGAGAGCTGCTTGAAGCTAGATGAATCTGGTTAACGGGAGAGAAGAGGGTGGGGGGGATGATGGGCATGGCCCATGGGTATGAGCTCATGCAGTGTTCCTGCCGGGAACATTTCGAGGAAAGGAAGGCTGGGGATAGCACAGGCGGACCTACTGCTGAGAGGAAAGGGTGTAATGGGGTGGGTGGCAGCGAGCATGAGTTCAAGTGTGCTTGCAAGGGGTGGGAGCTGTCAGGCCAATCTATTCGTCGAACCCCTTTCTTCCCCCTTCCCTCTTCCCTTTGCCTCTTTTTCCCTGCGCCCTTCCCCCCTGCCCCCTTCCTTTCCCGTGACTCTCTTCCTTTCTGTGCTCTGTGCTACCTACGTTTACTGTGCTGACGTGGCACGATCAGGTGGTGAACAAGACTGACCTGGCGCCGACGATTAGTGCTGACCTGTCAGTCATGGAAGCGGACGCGCTGCGCATGCGGGACGGTGGCCCCTTGGTGTTCGCACAGGTGGGTGAATAGGGGCAAGGGGAGTGAAGGGATGGCGGGCCGCTGGTGTTCGCGCAGGTGGGTAGGGAGGTAGAGGAGGATAGGGGGACATATAAGAGTGTTGGTTTTCATGCTGCCAGTGTTTTCAGAGAGAGTTGAGACCATGTATTCAAAGCATGAGTGGTGCCCTACATGTGCTCGTGCATCCCATCCGTTCTATGGGGTACCAGCCATATGTGCTCACGGCATGGAGTGCCCTCTGCATTTATGCATCGCATGCCTCTTCCTGTGCATGCACCCATCCCATTCTTCAATGCAGGTGAAGCATGGGGTGGGGGTACCAGCCATAGTGGACCATGTGCTCACAGCATGGAGGGCTCACATGATCACATCCGTGCCTGCATGCCCTAAAACATCCCATCCATCCTCCCACCCATCCCACCCCTCCACCCATCCCTTCCTTCAATGCAGGTGAAGCATGGGGTGGGGGTACCAGCCATAGTGGACCATGTGCTCACAGCATGGAGTGCCGCCACAGGCCAGCCCAGGAAGTAACGAGATGCGTGCACCCTGTTACAGTCAAGGTTACAATTAGTTCCACGCATGGTAACAGTGGTCACGGTTACAGTCTACAGCTTCGCATCGGCCTTAGTGGACCATGTGCTCACACCATGGATTTCCGCCACAGGCCTTCCAGAAGGTGATAATGTCCACTCCCTGGCACACTTGCTGTTAAAGTCACTCTGATCATTATTGTTAGAATGAAGGTAATGATCTTGGTAATGTTTGTTCGCTGGACGATTTATGATAGGCGTATGTTGTATTATACAAAGATTGTCGAAGTGTAAATCTTGGTTCCTCTTGGGACTTGTACATTCATTTATATGTACTTGTGGACACGACTCTGACCCCAAAGCGAATCAGCTCAGCACTGATTTTGCGCGTGCCAACTTCACAGCGCGCCACGCCATCCATTTAACGGTACCGATGTGTGCTCACGTTCTTCAGCTGGACCGTACCGTAGATGAGTCCAGCCTTCGCTTCCAACTTCGAGGGTGGTGTGTCGTGTAACGTGTTGCGTGACGTTTGCGGACCAACCAACACCTAGGTGACACGCCCTCTCGAGTGTCATTCACCATTCACCGTTCACCGTTCACCGTTCACCGTTCATGATTCACCCTAATCGTGATTCGGGATTCACGATTCAGGAGATTCAGGAATCAGGATTCACGAACCAGACCACACCACGCTCCGTACTTCACGTGTATATTCTCATTTCGACTCGAGTGAACACCGCAAACCACGCCAGAAACCACGCCGCAAATCACGCCTCCAAAGACGTGAAGAGCTGACAGACAAACTCGTCGTTTCCACGCGGCTGTCGTCTAGTTTAAACATCGCGGCGCGGTGCTGACCTGGCAGGCCGCATTCTCGCGTCGGAACCCATTTTTAAACAGGTTCAGATGGCAGCAGCGTCGTCAGGGACTCTATCGTTCCTAAACGGCCTGTCGAATGGCGGCGTCAGCCACGCCGCCATTCGCGGCCCGCGCTTCAGCACCTACGGCCAACGTGGCACGTCTGTCTCCGCCGCGTCGCGTGCGACACTATCGAGATTTCGAGCCGATTACGACACGTGGCAATCGGCCACCGCGCGACAATGCGGGTGGTCCAGCGGGGAGATTGGGGGAGTATGGGTAACCAGCGGGATTGCCGGAGGATTGCGGAGGCGCGCGGAACGGAAAGGGGGAGTATCTGCAGCAATAGGGGGTGCCGGTGGGGGGGGAGTTGTTGTGGTAGCGGCGGCGGGAGCGGAGCAGTCGCCTTATGACGTGCTGGGAGTGCCTCGAGGCGCGTCTCAGAAAGAGATTAAGTCCGCGTTCCGACGGCTGGCTCTTAAGTACCACCCCGACGTTAATAAAGCGGTGAGACAATTTGGGAACTGTGAAAACAGGCTTTTGTGAGGAACGTATTAAACTCGTTAGACTCTAATTATAGAAAAGGTCCTGAAAAAGGGACTACTCCTATGCGCGACCCGTTCCCATCCTCTCGCCCCTCACTTCACGCCACACACTCACAGGCCCCTCCTTCGCTCCTCCTTCCCCGCTCCCTTTCCTTCCCCCTTCCCTTCCCCCTTTCCGCCCCATTCAGCCCGACGCACAGCAGCAATTAGTGCGCATCAAGCAAGCAGCAGGGCTACCAGACTTGTAAAGAGTCCTTCCCTCCCCTCCCCGCTGATCGTTCACATGCCCTCCCAGCGGCAGCAGCAGCAGTGGGCACTCACAGACAGGCCCCTCCTCTCTTCCCTCCCCACTGCTCTCCCCAACCTCCACTGCAGCCCGACGCACAGCAGCGCTTTGTGCGCATCAAGCAGGCCTACCAGACGCTCACAGACCCCTCCTCCTCTCCTCCTTCCCCGCTCCCTTCTCGCCCCCCTTCCGTTCCCCCTTGCCCCACCCAGCCTGACGCACAGCAGCGATATGTGCGCATAAGGCAGGCCTACCAGACCCTCACAGACCCCGATGCTGCTGCCAACGCCAAGGCGCGAGACGCCTCGCAGCGGCAGCAGCAGCAGTGGGGGCAGGGCCGCAGCGGCAGGGGGGGGGGGAGGTGTATGAGGCGCAGGGCGCAGTGGGATGCTGATTTTACCCCTCCCTTTTTTAACCTTCTTCTTTTTTCCGTCTTCCCTCTTCTCTCTCCCTACCCCGCCCCCCTTTTCCCCCCACCCCAGTCCGACGCACAGGAACGCTTTGTGCGCATCAAGCAGGCGTATCAAACCCTGACAGACCCCGATGCTGCTGCCAACGCCAAGGCGCGAGACGCCTCGCAGCGGCAGCAGCAGCAGTGGGCGCGGAGGAACACCAGCAGCAGCAGCAGGGCGAGGGGAGGGTATGGGGCGCAGTGGGATGCGGATTTCAGTGGTCCGTTTGATCCGTTTGATGCGTGGAAGGGGCCCTCTAACAAGCCAGATGACTTCTACAGCCTCGGTGAGTACAGTCGTGGCAGGTGGCATGAATTGAGTACAGTCGTGGCAGGTGGCATGAATTGAGTACAGTCGTGGCAGGTGGCATGAATTGAGTACAGTCGTGGCAGGTGGCATGAATTGAGTACAGTCGTGGCAGGTGGCATGAATTGAGTACAGTCGTGGCAGGTGGCATGAATTGAGTACAGTCGTGGCAGGTGGCATGAATTGAGTACAGTCGTGGCAGGTGGCATGAATTGAGTACAGTCGTGGCAGGTGGCATGAATTGAGTACAGTCGTGGCAGGTGGCATGAATTGAGTACAGTCGTGGCAGGTGGCATGAATTGAGTACAGTCGTGGCAGGTGGCATGAATTGAGTACATTCGTGGCAGGTGGCATGAATTGAGTATAGTCGTGGGTGGCGGGTGGGTAGTGATTACAGTGGGCAATGAAGCAGTGGCATGGCATTGTCTCACTTTTTGAGGAGAGGACCAAAGAAAAAGCCGGATGACTTTTACAGTCTTGGTGACTGTGTCGCTTGGCTTGGCTTGGCTTGGTCAGTCAGGGGAGCGTATGGAGCGAGGGGGGGGGTTATGGGGCGCAGTGGCTTTGACCCTTTTGATGCGTGGAAGGGACCAGAGAACAAGCCAGATGGCTTCTACAGCCTCGGTGAGTGTGCGGCTTGGGTTGTGCACTCACGTGGCAGAGGATAATGGGAACAGCAGGGCAATGGGACTGTAGGCAGTGACGTTATCTCCCCCATCGACCCATTTGGTGCATGGGAGGAACGCGCCGGCTATTAAGCCATATGATTTTTACAGCCTCGCCTTGGTGAGTGTGGCGTGGTTTGCACAGTTCTGGGCAGGTGCAGAGGGATAGTGGGACAGGGTGGCAGTGGTGGTAGTGGGGCACTGCTGCTGCTGCCACCCCCTGTCCCACACGCTGAGAGAGTGGGACAGGGTGGCAGTGGTGGTGGTAGTGGGGCAGCAGCAGCAGTGGGCCAGTGGGGTACCGACTTTCTTCTCTCATCAACCCCATTGATGCATGCAAGGGGTCGGCGAGCAAGCCAGTATTGATGCGTGGGAGAGGGGAGGAAGAGAGAAAGGCAGTGCCCCACTGCCCCACTGCAAGCCAGATGACTTCAACAGCCTCGGTGAGTGCAGTCGTGGGCGGGTGGGATGGACAGTGCGAAAGTGGTTGCAGTGGGGCACAGGGGCACTGCCTTTCTCTTTTCGTCCCTCAAGCGCCTTCGGAAGAGCTTTGAGGAGAAGCAGAAGGTGCGGGGCAACGACCGAGTCGACTGAGACTGCGCCTGTGCATCTCCGTGCCCGTGCTTCTCATCCCCGTGTCCTTAGATCCCGCCTCCTGTGTATGGGCAGACAAAAGTTAGAAGGACCTTCAGAAGGCCATTGAGACGAAGCAGAAGGAGCAGTTTTATGTCGAATCAAAATGCTTCTCCCGGCCCCTCTCACCCCCCCATCCCCCGTGCCCCGTGTCTCCTGCCCGGTGTGAGCTTGCAGACGAGACGATTTCTTCAAGGACCTTCACACGGATTTTGAGGCAAAGCAGAAGGAGCAGTTGGGTGTTGACTCAAAGTGCATCTCTCCTCGCCGCTCACCCCCGTCTCCCGTGCCCCCTGCATTGCATGCTTGCAGACGATTTCTTCAAGCACCTTCACACGGATTTTGAGGCAAAGCAGAAGGAGCGAATCAGAGTCGACTCAAGAGCCATCTTCGTATTCTGCCCCATGTCATGTGTCTCTCTCATGCCCTGTGCCCCGTGTCTCATGCCCCCTGCATGCGCGCAGACGATTTTCTTCAAGCACCTTCAGAAGGATTTAGAGGCGAAGAAGAAGGGGCGAATCTGAGTCGACTCAAGAGCCATCTTCGTATTCTGCCCGGTATCCTGTGTCTTATGCCCCATGTGTTTCCGCAGATGATTTCTTCAAGGATCTACAGAAGGATTTTGAGGAGAAGCAGAAGGAGCGGGGCAGCGGGAAGCCCAAGAGCCTGTGGGAGGAGCTGGCGGTGAGTGGGGGGAGAAGGGTTTCCGGATTAGGGCGGTTTAGGGTTTTTGTTTAAAGGATGATGGGCTAATTGAGGCTAGAGTGTGGGATGGGAGCAGAAGGAGTGGAGGGCAAGCCCAAGAGCCTGTGGGAGGAGCTGGCGGTACGTGAGGGGGGGCGGGTGGGGTTTGGGTTTGGGGTCTCAATCATGCACTTGGGGGTCTTGTGCATGCACTTCAGGGTTTGGGGCTTGCACTTCAGGGTTTGGGGCTTGCACTTCAGGGTTTGGGGCTTGCACTTCAGGGTTTGGGGCTTGCACTTCAGGGTTTGGGGCTTGCACTTCAGGGTTTGGGGCTTGCACTTCAGGGTTTGGGGCTTGCACTTCAGGGTTTGGGGCTTGCACTTCAGGGTTTGGGGCTTGCACTTCAGGGTTTGGGGCTTGCACTTCAGGGTTTGGGGCTTGCACTTCAGGGTTTGGGGCTTGCACTTCAGGGTTTGGGGCTTGCACTTCAGGGTTTGGGGCTTGCACTTCAGGGTTTGGGGCTTGCACTTCAGGGTTTGGGGCTTGCACTTCAGGGTTTGGGGCTTGCACTTCAGGGTTTGGGGCTTGCACTTCAGGGTTTGGGGCTTGCACTTCAGGGTTTGGGGCTTGCACTTCAGGGTTTGGGGCTTGCACTTCAGGGTTTGGGGCTTGCACTTCAGGGTTTGGGGCTTGCACTTCAGGGTTTGGGGCTTGCACTTCAGGGTTTGGGGCTTGCACTTCAGGGTTTGGGGCTTGCACTTCAGGGTTTGGGGCTTGCACTTCAGGGTTTGGGGCTTGCACTTCAGGGTTTGGGGCTTGCACTTCAGGGTTTGGGGCTTGCACTTCAGGGTTTGGGGCTTGCACTTCAGGGTTTGGGGCTTGCACTTCAGGGTTTGGGGCTTGCACTTCAGGGTTTGGGGCTTGCACTTCAGGGTTTGGGGCTTGCACTTCAGGGTTTGGGGCTTGCACTTCAGGGTTTGGGGCTTGCACTTCAGGGTTTGGGGCTTGCACTTCAGGGTTTGGGGCTTGCACTTCAGGGTTTGGGGCTTGCACTTCAGGGTTTGGGGCTTGCACTTCAGAGTTTGGGGCTTGCACTTCAGGGTTTGGGGCTTGCACTTCAGGGTTTGGGGCTTGCACTTCAGGGTTTGGGGCTTGCACTTCAGGGTTTGGGGCTTGCACTTCAGGGTTTGGGGCTTGCACTTCAGGGTTTGGGGCTTGCACTTCAGGGTTTGGGGCTTGCACTTCAGGGTTTGGGGCTTGCACTTCAGGGTTTGGGGCTTGCACTTCAGGGTTTGGGGCTTGCACTATAGGGTTGTGATTTCTGGGATTTAAGAGTTTGGGAGTGCAGAGAGGGTGGAGAAGCAGGGGGAATAGGGGGATAAGCTGAAAACGGTGGGAGGAGCATGTGCCTTATTGCACTCCCTTCTACAACTAAACATTCACGTTGCGTTTATCACTTAGAAACTACATCCTCCATATTGCATTCCCCGCTAACAGGACCTTGGAGAGGATTTAGTGGATTTCCTGGAGAAGAACGTACCTGAGCAGCAAGAGAAGCCGAATTACAGCAAGGAGTATTTTTATTCTGGAGCCAGCAGAAGACCCGATGGCAGCAGCAGTGGCCCCAGCAGCACCAGCAGCAACAACAGGAGCAACAGTGGCACCAGCAGCAGGGGCGGGACCAGCGGAAGCAGCAGCAGCAGCAGCAGCAGCAGCAGCAGCACTGGTGCCAGTACTGGCACAAGCAGCAGAAGCGGCAGCGGTGGTTGTGGCAGTGGCAGCGGTGGGTATTGGAGCAGCGGTGGCAGTGGCAGCAGTGGGTATGGTTCACCCTCCTCTTCCTCAGGCTCATCGGCGAATAGAGCGCAGCAGAGCGCGTGGGAGGAGAGGATAAAGAAGGAGAAGGAGAAGGAGATTGATGATGAGTTGCAGAAGCTGAAGCGCGAGATGGGGCTGTGATGTGGCTGTGATGTGGCTGTGATGTGACTGGCGGTTTTTTAGAGCACTTTTGAGTTGACTCAGTCGAGCCCGGCATAGTGCGTGGAAGGGGAGGATGAAGAGTGAGTGAGAGGAGATAGACGACGAGCCTGCAGAAGCTGAAGCGGGAGATGGGGCTGTGATGTGAATGGGTGAATCTGGAAGGGAGCGTCAACTGCAGTATCTATATACCGGTGCTGCTTATGTACTATGAGTTGCCGAAGGGGGGAATGCGGTTTCTACTTGGCATTTCAAGAAATTATATTCAGCTCAATAGATGTGAAGCGAGTGATTTTTGGAATAAAATGAGCTGATTTAAATGTGGTTTATTAACTGTTTGAGTTGATGCTAGGGGGCTTTTGATTGGGGTAGATGCTTTCTTCATTCAGGGGAGTTCATTAGATTAGACTGCTGAATGATTCACCAGCTTTAGGGTACATTCCGCTCTGGACACTTTCTCAAAGAAAGTGTCTGCATCGATTGGGACATGAAGTTCCAGCATATGCTGCCAGGTGTCCGAATTCCGGACCGCTCTTGTTTGTCGCAAAAAATATTTTTCATTGGGTGGCATGAAACGCGGAACTGTCGCGGGCTAATTGCACGCCAAATCAACACACACCAGCCATCGCACGCGGTGCGAAATGTCAATCCATGCTGAATGTACTTGGTCATCATTCTACAGGGACGAATTTCAGTGGCTACGCGTACTCTGAAACGTGATTGGCCACACAAGGCTCCTTCGGAATTATTGACCATCCCGCTCATTTCACCTTCCGCCCAGGTGCGTGTGACGCGCAGGTTGAGTGGGCAACTCACACAACGGACCAATCACATTCCTTCACACATTGTTCGCGAGGTCACCGTGGGTCGCAGTACATCGATCGATTGGGACATGAAGTTCCGAGACATTATAGGGCGACTCGGGCCAAAAGTGATTCGGACACTTTCTTTGAGAGTGTCCACAGCGGAATGTAACCTTAGAGTTTTAAAGAACAGAATGTATATGAATAATTTACAAGACCAAGTTCTAGAGGCATGCCATTCCGTGGCAGTCTAGTTACTCTGGCCCAGCCACAGCTGCTACCCCAAAATGTAACCATCTACTCTAATATTGTCTCAAGGCACCACTGATTCTCCTAAGAGTGACCCGGCTGCTAGAGCCGGTTATTCTTCGCCTGGCTCCAAACCTGCCGATGCCAACAGATATGCCTGATGCTGCCAATGCCTCCCTCTCCTCCTCCTCTTCCTCATCCATGTACAGCTGATTCATGTAGCACATTGTTCCAGTCCCAGAAATCTTGGACCCTTGCCTGCTGCTGTCATCCTCCTCCTCCTCTTCCTCCTCATCATCACACCCATACAACTGGTTAGAAACAGTCCATCCTCCCTCTGCCATCCCAAATCTATTCACCTTCATGCTCCATTCCTTCCCAGTGCTGGATACTCCCTTACCAGCCCCTGAGTATTTTTTTGTTAAGCCAGCAGAGCTGCCGAACGTATCAGCAGAGGACGAGGAGCAGAGGCTGGAAGTGCTCCATCCCTTCCCATTCCTGGAAACGCCTCGGCCAATTCCCCTCTTCACACCAACTACCTCCGTGGTCAAGCCAACGGTCGCAGTGCTGCAGAGGCAATCAGCAGAGGAGGAGGAGCAGATGCTAGCAGAGGAGGAGGAGGAGTCCGAGGAGAGGTGGATGAGACACGCACTGCGGCTGCTGCAGCTGCTCTCGCTGCGACTCAAGCTGCACCACCCGCTGCTCGCCTCTGCTCCCATTTTCCCACCCTGCTGTGCCTCTGATTCTGCCGTCCCACCCTGCTCTGATCCGGTTGTCACACCCAACCAGGCCGCAACCTTGGCTGAGGAAGAATTAATCTTGGAAATTGAGTCAACTGAGGAGGTATGTGAGGCAACAGCGTCCTCTTGAGCAAGCAGCTCCAGGAACGAATAAGCTTTCCTCTTCGGCTCCTTCGGTTCCTCCTCCTTCTCTGCTTCCTCTGCGTTCTCAGTCTCCTCTGCTTTCTCAGCCTGAGTCGAAATGGTAGCAGTCACAGTTGGAGCCTCCACAGTCACAGCAACAGCCACAGCAGCGGATTCTACCTCTGCATCTGTTGACGCAGCTTCTTCCAGGAGAGCGACAACAGGAAGAGCGGGAACCGATTGCACCTCCACTGCTGCTTGCTCGCACGACCTGATCCAGCTGGAGACGGCCTGCATGAGGAAAAAGAGTTAGGTAAGTTGCTGTTTAGGAGAAGCGTCATGACGTAACCAGAAAACAACCGATGATACATATGAACATCCGTTGCTGGTAAAGAAGAGGAGCGCTTGCGAGAACTGAAGGAAATTGTTTGGAGGAAGTGGATCTTACCAGGCGTGGAGCTGCGATTATGCTGCAGACGAAGCAAGTGAGGGAGTCATTCTCCTCCCAGCAGCTCGAGAACAGAGCATCGACGTCCACGCAGGCACTCTCAGCACCGATGCAGGCCATTTCGTTGACGGACGGATTAGGAAGGAAGGCTAAGGCTTCCGCGACAGGGCTGGAACACGAGATTACGAGCAATCAAGCAGGCTTAGACAGCTGGGAGTAACGAGGGAGCAAGGTAGGAGGACTTGCAAGTAGCTTCAAGCGAGACTGATGAATGAAATGAGAATTCTGAAGGCCTACTTATACTATTTCCGTCTGGTGGGTACAGCGACTCTTGATGATCGTCGAGTAAGAAACGAGTGAGAGCGAGCGAGTGAGGGAATGCGACGAGAGTCACGGGAGGGGTGGGAGGGTGGCAGGAAGAGCGAGGCAAGCAGGGCAACCCGCCGATGGTAGCTCTGGGCGAACTCGCAACTGCGAGGACTTGCAATGATCGGAGCCCATGGCGACATCGTCGCCTGGCCTTGGGGGTATCGGGTGTCGCGCTACTGTCCGTTTTACTAGCAACGATTCAGCGTGCGACACCTGTGCTTTATGTGCCAGCGAGGCGGGATCGTCTGGAAGAGCGTATTCCTCGACTCGTGTCCGCCGCAATCGGGAGTACCGAGCGGCACGAGAATAATTGGAAGGCGGGAAACAGGTCAGGTTCGTAAGCCGACGAAGTCTCGGCAAACGCGGTACGGTCACCCGAACCTAGCGCCCAGGCCTAGAGAATTGCGGGATGATGAACACGTGGACTGAGGCTATGACCGAGTTTCAAGAAGAGGTCTGGTAGGGGGTGTTCAATGTGGTAAGGGAGGACAGAATCTAAGGAGCGTAAACGCTACAAAGCTCTCCGCTTTACCACGAAATCCGTCTGCTAGAACCAAAGGAACAAGCTAAATAAGCATGAATGCGAAATGCAGGTAAAATGCAACATTTCTCCTCTTTATCAAAGCAGCCTACCTTGAAACGGTAATTCTCAAATTGAACAGCAATGGTAGTTTCCTTGCTATGATGTAATGACATAATGACACTATTGAATATCAATTAGCATTCATTTTGACTAGAGGAATTGTTCAGAAAGTCTTCCGTCATTTAAGTGTAGTCTGGCTGGCACTGATACTACCTATTCTTAAAGAAAATCATGGTACCGTACCGTACTTCATTTGCTGGCTCATTCTAATCTGAAGCATACTGGCATCTTTGGAGTGTTTTCTCAATTCAGAGGAGTTCATTTGATCAAGGCCGCTCTATGATTGACAGGCTTTATTAGTGAAAAAAACAAAAACAAATGTATATAAATACTTTACAATACCAGGTTCTAGAGGCATGCCATTTAGTGGCAGTCTAGTTACTCAGGCTCAGCCACAGCTGCTACTCCAAACTCGTACCTAACTAGCTAATATTGTCTCAGTGCACCACTCATTCTCCTAAGAGTCACCCGGCTGCTGGAGCCAGTTATTCTCCGCCTGGCTCCAAACCTGCCGATGCCAACTGAAATACCTGATGCTGCCAGTGCCTCCCTTTCCTCCTCCTCTTCCTCATCCATGTACAGCTGATTCATGTAGCACATTGTTCCAGCCCCAGAGATCTTGGACCTTTCTCTGCTGCTGCCATCCTCCTCCTCTTCCTCCTCATTGCCATACCCATACAAAAGGTTTGAGACAATCTGTCCTTCCTCCTATCAGAACTAGTAGTAGAAAGAAAGAATGAAGAAAGGAGGATTGAACTAGCAACAGTTGGGATACAAATAGGAAACCCTAAGGGGCCGTACTCACTATAGAGTACCCCACTGCAGGCTAGACAAGCATTATAATCTGACACACCCCCATAGTCAAAGTGGGGTATAATCAGCAGAGCAAGCAGTCATAGAGCAGGTTCACAAGTGCAAGCAAAGCTAGAGGCATTCACAAAGGGCAAGTGAGGAGGAGGAGGCGGGACTGTAGGAGGAGAGAAGATGGGAGACGACGGCTGAAGCTGCAGACACACGGGCAAGAGGAGCGGCTGGCACAGTGGCTACCGGGACAGCGCCCCGGACTACTGGAGTAACTGGCTCACGGGCTACGAGGAGCTACAGGAGCAACGGACCCACGGGCGACAGGCGCAGCAGGCTCTCTGGGCTACCAGGACAGCGCCCCGGACTACAGGTGCTGCGGACGACAAGACGGCAGCCTCCTCTCAGCCTCCCCAAACAGTCCCACCCCCCTTGACACACACCCCCTGCTTCACCCCTAGCTCCACTCCCACGTCACCCCCCCAAGCTCCACTCCCCGCGGATCCCACACCTCCACCCCCCTCAGCAGCAGCTGCAGCAGTGGGAGACGAACAAGGAGGAGGGGAACACCACACCCCCGTGCTTGCCACCCCACACCCCCCACCACCGCAGAACGGACGGCGGCACGGGAGGAATGGGCAGCACGGGGGGGGGGGGGGGGGGGGGGGAGGGGGGGGGGGGGGGGACGGGACAGGAGGGGCCGCGCGCTCCTCCCCAGGGCGCCACGACGAGTGACGGGAGGGGGGGACGCGCGGCCCCCCAGGGCGCCGCGACGGGCGACGGGAGGGGCGACGCGCGGCCCCCCAGGGCGCCGCGACGGGGCAGCGGGGGGTCGCGCGCGGCTCCCCAGGGCGGCGCGACCGTCGACGGGGCAGCGGGGGGTCGCGCGCGGCTCCCCAGGGCGGCGCGACCGTCGACGGGGCAGCGGGGGGTCGCGCGCGGTTCCCCAGGGCAGCGCGACGGGACGGCGAGGGTTGCGCGCGCCTCGCCAGGGCGCCACGACGGACGGACAGGGGGCGCGCGCGCCTCGCCAGGGCGCGCCAGGAAGAAAACGGGTCGCGCGCCCGGAAGAAACCGGGCCGCGCGCCAAACAGGAAAACCGGCAGGAAGAAAGGCGTCGCACGCCACGGGGCGTGCAGCAGACAGAGTAGCAGCGGAAGCAGTTAGGTGGTGGGCCCACCCACAGGATCGACCCAAGGGGATCGACCTGCTCTGATACCATATCAAAACTAGTAGTAGAAAGAAAGAATGAAGAAAGGAGGATTGAACTAGCAACAGTTGGGATACAAATAGGAAACCCTAAGGGGCCGTACTCACTATAGAGTACCCCACTGCAGGCTAGACAAGCATTATAATCTGACACCTCCACCTTCCGAAACCCCTTCACCTCCATGCTCCAGCCCTTCCCACTGCAGAAATCGCCCTTACCAATCCCACTCTTCACTGTTTTTTTCTCAGCTGCCAAGAGCTCAGTGAAATGGTAAGCAGTGGACAGAGAGCATCCTTTTCCAATGCTGGAAACGCCTCGGCCAATCCCCTTCTTCACACCAGCTACCTCCGCCATCAAGCCAGTGGGGCTGCTGCAGGGGCTGTGAGCGGAGGAGGAGGAGGAGCAGGAGGAGGATTCTGAGGAGAGGTGGATGAGACACGCACTGCGGCTGCTGCAGCTGCTCTCACTGCGACTCAAGCTGCACCACCCGCTGCTCGCCTCTGCTCCCTCCTTCCTACCCTGCACTGATTCCGTCTCCACACCCAACCAGGCCGCAACCTTGGCTGATGAAGCAACAGCCTTAACCGTGGGTGAGGCAACTGAGTCTTCTTGAGCAAGCGGCTCCAGGAACGAAGACACTTTCTTCTTCGGTTCCACCGGTTTCTTTGCTTCCTCAGCTTCCTCAGCCTGAATCGAAACGGTAACAGTCACAGTTGCAGCGTCCGACTTGCCAGCCTCAGTGGCATGGTGGACGGTTTCTGCATCTCCCTCCGTTGACGCGGCTTCTTCCAGAAGAGCGACAACAGGAAGAGCGGGAACCGACTGCACCTCCACTGATGCTTGCTTGCCCGGCCTGATCCAACTGGAGACGGCCTGCATGAGAAAAAACCAGATAGGTTAGTTGCTGTTTAGGAGAAACGCCAGGACATCACCAGCAAACAAATGATGAATTACATATAAACATACGTTGCTGGTAAAGAAGACAAGGCCTTGCGAGGACTGAAGCGAATGGCTTGGAGGAAGTGGTTTTTACCAGGCGTGGAGCTGCGATCATGCTGCAGACGAAGCGAGTGAGGCCTTGCGAGGACTGAAGCGAATGGCTTGGAGGAAGTGGTTTTTACCAGGCGTGGAGCTGCGATCATGCTGCAGACGAAGCGAGTGAGGGAGTCGTTCTGCTCCCAGCAGCTCGAAAACAGAGCTTCGACGTCCACGCAGGCACTCTCAGCTCCGATGCAGGTCATGTTACGGACGGACGTAGAGTTAGAAGGTTACGGCTAAGCTTTCGCGACGAGTTTGCAGAGTATACTGAGCACCTGAGCAGACTTATACAGCTGGTAGCGAAGGGAGCACAAGGTAGGACGACTAACAAGCAGCTTTAGTCGAGACTGATGAATGAAATAGAACCTCCGGCGACGTATTGTAGTGTTTCTGTGTGGTGGGTGGAGCAACTTGGATAGGCGTCGGGTGAGAAGCGAGTGAGAGCGAACGAGCGGGGGAATGCGAAGAGAGGGGTGGGAGGGTGGCAGGGGGAGCGACGCAAGCAGGGGAACCCGCCGACATGGTCGCTGCTGTGGCATGGGCTTGCGAGGCGGGATCAGAGCCCATGGTCGTAGGCTGGCCTTGGGGGTATGGGGGTGTCGCACGAGATTCCATTTTTACAGCGACGATTCAGAGTGGAACACGTGTATCGCATGTGCCAGGGAGGAGGTTCGCTTGGAAACGGGTTATGCTCTAGCGCCCGCCGCAATCGGGAGCACCAAGTGCGACGCGAGATTTGAATGAGACATGTGGAAGGCGGGAAATAGGTCAGGTTCAGAGCCGACGAGGGTTTCGGCGAGCGCAATGTGGCTCGCCGAACCTAATCTCAAGGCCAAGAGGAATTCCCGGGGTACTTCAACATACCACGCCACATAGACTAAGTTGTGATCGAACCTGGGCGGCAGGTTTGGCGATGAGAATTTGCACAAGGCAGGGGAGCGACAATATCGAGACTCCGTAAGCGCTACACTTTTCCCCGCTGCACCCTAATGACGAATAATGGAAGAGTAATGTGTATACAGAAACCCTGTACACATATTCCACATTCTAGTTATGCTGCGGGATATCTTGAGTTTCAGCTTATGATATCTGCATCACAATGTTGAACATATTAAGCAGGGTCTTCTGCCATGGGTAAAAGTGTAAGAAATATTGCATATGGGCACAATCTCGAAAGATCAGTTGGTGGAGTATGAAACTAGGCTATTGCTTTCACGAAGGGGCACAGAAGGGGACAAACCCCAATCACTGCATAAAAACAGGAGAAGCGAGGGGAGGGGGAAGAAATAAGGGAGTGTGAGCAGCAGCAGTGGGGAGGTGAGGGAAAACCATGTGCAAGGGCTGGGGGAAGGTGAGGGGTGGGAAATGGTACCCCAAGGACGAGAAAAAGAGCACCAGGAAGCAGTGAAGAGTGACGTAGAAGTCATGTTGCTGCACGTTCATGCACTCTGCACAATGACGATTGAGGACAATTGAGCCAAAAGGAGAAAAGGTGAGTTAAAAAGGTTAGCCTTCACACTGAGGAAATGGAGAGGCATGTGGAAGGGTCAGGGGGAAGGGGGAAGGATGAGGAAATGGATGGGGGAGATGCTGGACGGAAAAGGATGAGGTGTAGTACGGTATGATGGGATAAGGCTGCTGCAATTCATCACTTTGCAACCCTCCCCACCCCTTACTTCCCGCAGTAGCTTATGGCATTCATTCCCCTCTCCCTCCTCTCATCCACCCCACACACAACTCCCCACCTCCCATCCCATCCCCCCTCCTACCATCTCTGCTTCTCGCACCCTGCTCCCCCTTACCTCGTTTCCCCCTTCCTCCTACCCCACATCCTGCAATCCACCCATCTCCCAGTCACCCATTCACCACCCCCCCACCTCCCATACCCCCAATCTCCCATCCCCCCATCTCCCATTCCCCCCATCTCCAATTCCCCCACCTCTTATTCCCCCCATCGTCAATTCCCCCATCTCCCATTCCCCCCATCTCCAATTCCCCCACCTCTTATTCCCCCCATCGTCAATTCCCCCATCTCCCATTCCCCCCATCTCCAATTCCCCCACCTCTTATTCCCCCCATCGTCAATTCCCCCAACTCCCATTCCCCCCATCATCAATTCCCCCACCTCCCAATCCCCCCATCTCCCATTCCTCCTATCCACCCCCCTATCTCACGTTCCCCTGTCCCTCGTTGCCCATTCCCCATCCCATCCCCTATTCCCCCATCTCCATCCCGTTTTCCCCCCACCACCCCATTCCCCCACCTCCCATCCGTTTTCCCATCCCCCACCACCCCATTCCCCCACCTCCCATCCGTTTTCCCATCCCCCACCACCCCATTCCCCCACCTCCCATCCGTTTTCCCATCCCCCACCACCCCATTCCCCCACCTCCAATCCGTTTTCCCATCCCCCACCACCCCATTCCCCCACCTCCCATCCGTTTTCCCATCCCCCACCACCCCATTCCCCCACCTCCCATCCGTTTTCCCATCCCCCACCACCCCATTCCCCCACCTCCCATCCGTTTTCCCATCCCCCACCACCCCATTCCCCCACCTCCCATCCGTTTTCCCATCCCCCACCACCCCATTCCCCCACCTCCCATCCGTTTTCCCATCCCTTACCACCCCATTCCCCATCCGTTGCCCCCCATCCTGCTCCGACCACCATCCAAGGGCCCACTGCTCAGCAACAATTCCTCCCGCAGCGGATTCGCCACTTTCGTCGTTCCGCCCTTCCCCCCAAGCATCCCGCTGAGGGGGCGAAGGGTCAGTGACGCGGAGAAGCATGGGCAGCATCCCGCCCCTTCGCCCCCCCCGCACACACCGTCTTGTGGTCCCCGCCATCCCTTCCCTCGCTCACCGTCGTCCTGTCCCTTTCTCTTCTCTCGCTCTGTCCTCTCCTCTCCGCGCCGCCTCTCCGGCTCTCCGCTCCGCCTCTCCTCTCCGCGCCGCCTCTCCGCTCCGCCCTCTTCTCTCCGCTCCGCCGTCTCCTCTTTCGAGAAATAATCCCATCGCTGCTTCGGCGCAGCGCCACGCCATTGCTTACAGCAAAAGCCAGTTTCGCAGAGTCGTTCTAACAATTTTCTACATCGAAACGTCTCAAAACTCACGTCATCGCCTGCTGATGTCGGCTTTCCCTCTCCGCCCAGTGAACCCCGCCCACACTACCTCGCCCGCAACAAATCGATGAGGTGTTCGGTCGGGCCATATCCACCCGCGGTCGCACGAATTCCGCACAAGAAGGACAATATGCTGTTCTAGATTCCACTGTGTTCAATCACCTGGAAACTTAATTTCTTGTGCGGTTGAAGACGTGTGGTATGGGCACGCCGTATCGTGAAGGACCTATGGACACTGGAAAATTGGGTAGAGGTTGTTTGGCGAATATGGAGGTTGGGGTTGGCCACCGCTGACGAAGTAGAGCGAATAAATATTTATGTCAGCGAAGTTGTCCTGACCGCGGCGACGAAGATGTACTGCTTTGACGAAACACAACGAAAGCATGAGCGAACAAAAAGCGAAGAAGCAAAACGTACCGTGTGCCAGCCGGGAATCGAACCCGGGTCTGCACCGGGCTCGTGGCAGGGTGCTATTCTACCTCTTTATTGACTCTATGGTAAATGTACAATGGATACAAGGCAAATCCAGAGACCTAGTGTATGGAAAGACATGCAGGCTAATCCTATTGTGAGGCCTACAAATAGGCCTCTGTGATGTCTCAATGGTCCTCTCCCAAGTAGGCAAAATCAGCTGCAGAAAGAGAAGTCACCTCGGGTGGTGCGTGGTTGACGCCCTCGGTAAAACGAATTTGTGCACGACGACAAACAGTGCGAGCCTGCTCACGTTGATGGACCAGAGAAATCCGTTTGTAGAAGTTGGTCTCAAACAGCTGGGGAAGAGAATCTGTGGCACCACTCAAGTCGCGGAGTTGTGACGCCCCTTTGCGGCTGCATTGGCGAAGGAAGTTGTTGAACGAAGAGCCGAAGCAACCGAAGGTTTCGATGACAAGGGGAAACAGTTTGATGTCTGGACGGTCACGAAGTGCTGCAGCATAGTGGGTTGTCTTCTCGCTTTCACGAGTGGCTGCTGCTGAACCGATCACCGTAGCTGCGTTGGAGTGCGGAAATCCCTTTTGAGGATCGGCGACGGAAACATCCAAGGCCCAGGTGGTACCAGAGCTGACGTCGCGGCACGTGATGTCTGTACGGCGGCCAGGCAGGAGATGCTGGTCTTCCATTTGCGCAGAGAACCCAAGCTCCAAGGCAATGCGATGAACTTCACGCTTGATTGCGTCGTGCACCTTGGTAGGCTCATTGTTGCTAGGGCAGCGAAGGACGTGAGAGTGGATGGAAGGATCAGAGAATGGGGAGTTGCAGGTGCAGGTGTGGGAAGATGAAAGGTGAGGAATAGGAAGGCCTAAGCGGATGGCTGCTGCAATGCGCCACTCGGTCTCTGAAAGCTGCATGTGCGGGGAGGATGGAGCCACAGTGAGCCAGTGACCTGCGTGCGGGCCCTGCAAAGAGGTTAGGCGAGCAAGGCGAAGCGGGGACGTTACTGTGGCTCGAACCTTCTCCAGCAGTTCGGCTTCAAGGTGTTGGGATAGGTGAGTGAAGAGTTTAGGAGGGTAGCCCGATTGTAGCACAGACCACGATGGAAAGCGATCACGAATGTCTTGGGGGAGCATGGTTATGGTGGATGAGATTGAAGGGTCCAAGCGGTTAATGGAGTCTGTGGTAATGTAAGGGCGGAAAAGAGGAGCACCATCGGTGATGAAGTGGGTGGACAAGGTCGAAACTGTCTGCGCCCAGCTGCAGAGGTAACTGAGGGGGGCAATGGATGCAGAGCTGCGAATGCCGAAGCCACCCAAGCGGATAGGGAGCGAGGCTTGGAATCGGGCCGATGTGGACTGTTCAGAGGTGGGATTCCAGTACTCGGAGCCCAGGAGCTGAGAAAAGTGGCTGAAAATGGTGCTGTCCCATGAGGAGAGTAGCTCTTGGATTTCGGGAAAAGGTGCGACAGTTCGGAGGAGGAAAGAAGGTCGGGCTGTGATGCATAAGGAAAGGATCCGTGAGGCAACCTGTGGGTCCTGCAGTTGATGCAGTAAGGGGAGGGAGGAAGTGAAAGAATCGAGTTTGTCACGAACTGTAGAGATGATGTAACCGTCTGAGCCGGTAGGAACGCCAGCGACAGTGAGACCGTTTGCTACGATGGAAATACCCGAGGGCGGAATGCAGTGTTCGGGCAAGTCCATAGGGGCCCATAGAGAGCACTTAGAGGGCTGGACAGTAAGGCCGAGAGAGAGAAGGCGGGCGGTAAGGTCAGTGTATGCGGCAAACACGTCTGAGGGAGGGCCGACCAATTAGGTATCGTCCGCGTATGAGGTAACGAAAATAGAGGGAGATTGCTGCTGGGTTGGCTGGATGGCTAGCTGCTGCGTCAGGGCGTAGAGGAAAGGGCCACAAGGGTCGCCCTGACGAACACCGGAGGCTGACTGGAACGTGTGGAGGAGAGGGCCGCTGCGGTAGTGGAGAGGTGAAGGGGAGGAGTAAAATAGGTGGAAGAAGGGAATGAGACTGGAGAATGGGGAGCGCCGTAATGCCTCAAACATGGAAACTCTGTTGAAGGAGTTGAAAGCGTTTGCCACGTCCAACTGCAGCACCACCCAATCGGGATGAAGGGAGAAGGCGGAACAAGTAATTTTTGTAGAACTAGTAGCTTCGTTACCAGCCGTTACCACTTGTACTTGAGCAATTTCTGGCACTGTACGTCCTAAGACTTCTGCTCTGAATGAATTTCCTTGTCTTACCGGAGATTCCAATTTGGCTGTTGTTTTTGCCAACTAGTTGCCCAAGCCATGGCGGAGAGGTGTGAGGCGGAGCCGCTAGAATTCAGAAATCAATCCGCGACCATGCAGGATGTCCACGTACCAGGTGGCGATGGCGAAATCAGCGATGCTAACGAACACGACGAGTGCGTGGAAGTGGTTACCAGCGCCACGCACGACAGCCTCCACATCTACCTCCTCGCCACCGGGCCTCGCGATTCCTCAGGAAGTTTAAGTCTTAGCAGCCCGTCGCAGCAGCAATACCGCGTGATTGTGAAGCGTTCGCCACGCAAGAGCCGCCTAAAGCAGACTAAGAAAGGTTTTAGCGGGTCTCAGGATCAGACGAACCAACGGACGGCATCAGTGGATCGGCATCTCGGTCTCTTATCCCAATCCGACGGTTCACAATGCGTCTCCAGTCGGCCGCATCTCCGAGCATGGAGATCCCAACTGCCGCTGGGACATCCAGACGCGTTACAAGCAGGACCGTTAGCTCGTTTAGGGCTGCTTTGGTTTCCAGGGCTGGTGGGTGGAATCGCTCTGGCCTTGCGACAGCCGGTGGCGAACGCGGCGAAATGGCTAGGCGATGTGAAACCCCAACCGTGCACCCCCCTGATCCAACCACATTCACCGAACCTGATCCGGCCTTCCGAGCCTGCTCGACTGCTCTGGTCCTCCGCCCGGCTGCCCGCAGCAGCAGTGGCTGGGGGCGGTAGTGCTGCCCCGGTCTTGCAGCGAGGAATCCTAAGTCGGTTTGAGCGTTTCAAGGTGCCCGAAAAGCTGCCCGCAGCAGCACACGGGTGTGGTAGTGCTGCTAAGGTCATGCTGCAAGGAGTGGGAGTGGGAGTGGGAGGAGCTTCAGGGGCCGTTTGGCAGATTCAGGAGGTTCAGGAGGGGTTTATGTTGCGGCTGACCACCCAACGCTCCTCCTCCTCCTCTCATTACTCCTCCTCCTCCTCCTCCTCCTCCTCCTCCTCCTCCTCCTCCTCCTCCTCCTCCTCCTCCTCCTCCTCCTCCCCCTCCCCCTCTCCCCCTTCCTCCTCCTCCCCCTCCCCCTCTCCCCCTTCCTCCTCCTCCACCCCCCCTCCACCCCTCCGTCGCCCCTCCCCCATCCCCATGCCACCCCTGCCATCTCTCCTCCCCACGGACCAGCAGCAGCGGGTGGGCAGTGGGCCAGCGTTCATGGGCAATGTGTTTCTCGTGGCGGATCCCTCCAAGAGGGGCATGCTGGGCGTGAAGGTCGAACCGTCCCCGTTCACGGGGATGGGGGAGTGGGTGGGGAAGCAGCGGCAGCAACTGTCAGAGTGAGTGGTGGGGATGGGTGGGGTGTGGTTAGCTGGGTGGGGGGTTGCAGTCCATATCCCACCAAGAGGGGCATGCTGGGCGTGAAGGTCGAACCCTCCCCCTTCACAGGGATGGGGGAGTGGGCGGGGAAGCAGCGGCAGCACCTGTCAGGGTGAGTGGTGGGGATGGGTGGGGTGTGGTTGGGCTGGGTGGGGGGTTGCAGTCCATACCCCTCCAAGAGGGGCATGCTGGGAGTGAAGGCCGAGCCCTCTCCCTTCACAGGGATGGGGAGTGGCTGGGACAGCAGCGCCGGCAGCTGACAGGGTGAGTGGTCGGGATGGGTGGGGTGTGGTTGGGCTGGGTGGGGGATAGCAGCATCACATCAGCATCGGCAGCAGCAACCCCACCACCACCACTACCAGCAGCAGCAGCAGGGGATGAGGGGACCGGCATTCATGGGCAATGTTCTCTCGTGGCGGATCCCTCTAGAAGGGGCATGCTGGGCGTGAAGTGAACCACCGTGTCTGCCTTCCCCCCGTTTCCCCCCTCATTCAGGCTGCTGAAGCGCGCCCTTCCTGCCATCGTGGGCAAGAGGGGGGGAGGAGAAGGGGGGAAGGGAGATGGAGGGGAAGCAGGACGAATTGGGGGAGAGACAGGGCGAAGTATTCCCCCCGTTTTTTTGCCTTCCCCCCGTTTCGCCCCTCATTCAGGCTACCAAAACACGCCCTTCCTGCCATCGTGGGCAAGGGGGAAGGAGAAAAGGGGGAAGGCAGGTGGATGGGAAGCGGGAAGAAGCGGTGAAGGGACAGGGAGAAGTGACCCCCTTCCTTCTTCCGCCTTTCCCCCACGCTTTTTCTGCCTTCCCCTTTTTCCCCCCTCATTCAGGTTACTGAAGCGCGCCCTTCCTGGCATTGCGGGCAAGGGGGAAGGGGAAGAGGTGGAGGCAAGTGGAGGGGAAGCGGGAAGAAGCGGTGTGGCGGCAGAGAGAAGGGGGGAAGAGAAGGAAAAGGGAGTGGGAGGGAAGGAGAAAAGGGGGGAGGAGAAGGAGAGGGGAGGGAGTGAGCGCGAGGCAATGGAGGAGGGGCAGAAGAGGCGCAACAGCGAGGGCGAAGGTGTTTTCAGATTCTTCCTGAGCCGAGGCACTGCAGGTGAGCAGCAGAGAGCGTCTGGAGTGAATCTGGCCGTACCATGCTCGCTGCTGTTGTGCGAAGCACATGCGGAGAGGAGGGGCGGAAGATGGGCAGGGCAGCAACAGTGAGGCAGTCTTTTGCGTCTATCTAAAACCGAGGAAGTGCAGGTGAGCAGCAGAGAGCGCTTGGAACAAATTCAGCAGCAGACGCCTTAAAACAAATTCGTTTCTAAAAAAATGTTATCTGTTTCCGAGTTTGTTCCCACCTGTCCCCCCACCCACCCCTCCCACCAGCCCGCTAAACCCGTGGCACCTGCAGCAGCCCTCTTGCCCTAGCTTGCCTGGTCTAACTAATATCCTCCCCTCCAACCCGACACGACACCCCCCCTACCTGCATCGCCCGCAGCTGTTCCCGTTCGCACCGGACGAAGTTAAAGCCAGCACGATCGGGTTATATCTCGCTTTCTCCCGCGTGCCTAGAATACCTGATATCATCCCCCTTCTCCTCCTTCCTCCCGTCCCCCACCCCCACACCCTCCCCCCAGCGCGTTTCTTGCGTCGCCTGCAGCTGTACCCGTTTGCCCCGGACGAGGTGAAAGCCAGCACGATCTGGTTGGTTACACCCTCTATTTCTAGCGTACCTGGAATTCATAACATCATCCCCCTTCTCACCCCGCTCCTACCAGCGCGCTACCTGCGTCGCCTGCAGCTGTACCCGTTCGCACCAGACGAAGTGAAAGCCAGCACGATCGGATTCTGCCCGCTTGAAGTCGCGTACCGATTCTTCAAGGTTGGTGTGGGGGAGGCTTTAACTGAATTCAGTGCGAAAGATCTGATCTGATAGCTCTGAATTCTGGAGAGGCTTCAACTCATGTCAGAGCAGAGCGGAAGGGAATTCTTGTGAACCAGCAATGTTGGGGTGGGGTGGGGTGCCCACTTAATTCCCTTGGCCTGGATAACGTTCCAGGAATTGAGATTTTTAAAAATTCTCGAGGTCCTGATTGAGTCGTGTTTTGAGTCGACTCAAAACACCTCCCGGGTCCTGGTTGACGTTCCGCCAGTCACTGTTTCTTCAACAACTTCTGCCCTTCATTCTCCCCCTGCCCTTTGCCACCCGTCCCCCTTTGCCACCCGTCCCCCTTTGCCACCCGTCCCCCTTTGCCACCCGTCCCCCTTTGCTGCCCGTCCCCTTCCCCCCCCATTCCACCCTTTGCCGCCCAGTTCCGCCACCCGCTGTTCGCCTTCGTGCCGGACGAGAGTCAGGTGCGGGCGGCGCGGCAGTTACTGCTCCAGCTGGAGGGGCGGCAAGCGGCGGAGCGATTCCAGGGTGTGCCGGTGTTCAGTGCAGCGAATCTGACAATTGCTGTTCCCTCCAAGGGCGGCGTGCTGAGGTGGTGAGTGTTGATGGTCTCATCAGTCGAGGTGGTGAGTGGGGGGCCATTGCCCCTATCTCCTGAGCAAGCGGCGGAGCGATTTCAAGGAGTGCCAGTGTTCAGTGCTGCCAACCTGACAATTGCAGTTCCCTCCAAGGGAGGCCAACTGAGGTGGTGAGTGTTGTTGGTTTCCTGAGCCGTGGTGGTGAGTGGGGCAAGCGGCGGAGCGATTCCAGGGAGTGCCGGTGTTCAGTGCAGCGAATCTGACCATCGCTGTGCCGTCCAAGGGTGGTGTGCTGAGATGGTGAGTGCAACGCTGTCATGCCATCAACCCTAGACTGTTTTTGTATAGACTGACAGAGGGCATGTTTTAACCAAAGAGTGCCGGTGTGCTCTGTGCGGCGAAGTTGACCGTTGCTGTGGCGTCTAATGGCGGTCAGCTGAGATGGTGAGTGTTGGGTTGTGCTGAGATGGCAAGTATGGTCTGGGGCGATCCATGAAAGGAGTGCCGCTCTTCAGTGCTGCCAACCTGACCATCGCTGTGCTGTCCAAGGGTGGTGCTGAGATGGTGAGTGATGGTCATGCTGAGCTGAGATGATAGTGTGGTGCTAGTGTTGCTCAGTGCTAAGTGCCGTCGCCCCATACTCCAGGCCAGGGAGTGCCGGTGTTCGTGCGGCGAACTTGACCATTGCTGTGCCGTCTGAACGCGGGCAAGCTGAGATTGTGAGTGTTGGAGGTGTGCTGACCAGCGTTGACCAGGGCTGACCTGTGTTGACCAGCGTTGACCAGTGTTAACAAACGTTGACCAGCCACCCAACTCCTGCCCTCCTTCCACTCCACAGGTACCGGCCTTACTTCTTCAACAAGAAGCAGCTGGACCGACCGCTGGCATCCGGTGTGGACCACCATTGACCAGCTTTGACTAGCGTTGACCGGTGTTGACTCCTCGCCTCCCCCCCCTTGCCATCCTTTCCCCTACAGGTACCGCCCCTATTTCTTCAACAAGAAGCAGCTGGACAAACTGCTGGCGTCCAGTGTGGATCAATACTTCATGGGATTGATGCGCGCGAGGAGAGCCGCCAGACAAGCGCAGGTAGGGAGGGTGGAATAGCTGTAAGAGTGTTAGAGGGCGACTCTACATGCACTGTTGGCGTCCAGTGTGGATCAGTACTTCATGAGCCTCATGCGAGCGAGGAGAGCCGCCAGACAAGCTCAGGTGGGGTGGGACTCTGTGTTAGTTCTTTACGTTTACATAAGGGCAGAGTCAAACTGCTGGCGTCCAGTGTGGACCAATACTTCATGGGCCTCATGCGCGCGAGGAGAGCAGCCAGACAAGCTCAGGTGGGGTGGGACTCTGTGTTAGTTCTTTACGTTTACATAAGGGCAGAGTCAAACTGCTGGCGTCCAGTGTGGACCAATACTTCATGGGCCTCATGCGCGCGAGGAGAGCAGCCAGACAAGCTCAGGTACTGCAGTGGGAATAGGTGGAACTGCAGTTCAAGAGATTCAAGGGAGTGATGTGCTGTGCTGGCGTCCAGTGTGGATACTATTTTCATGGCCAGACAAGCGCAGGTAAGGAAGAGCCGCCAGACAAGCGCAGGTAAGGAAGAGCCGCCAGACAAGCGCAGGTAAGGAAGGCGGGATAGCTGCTTAAGGAATGCTCTGCTCTGCTGGCGTCCAGTGTGGATCAGTACTTCATGGGATTGATGCGAGCGAGGAGAGCAGCCAGACAAGCGCGGGTGGGGAGGGAGGGAGGGAGGGAGGGAGGGAGGGAGGGAGGGAGGGAGGGAGGGAGGGAGGGAGGGAGGGAGGGAGGGAGGGAGGGAGGGAGGGAGGGAGGGAGGGAGGGAGGGAGGGAGGGAGCATGGTAGGTGACACAAGGGGTGCAGGTGCTGTGCGTCTAGTGTGGACCAATAGTTAATGGGCCTCCATGCGAGCGAGGAGAGCAGCCAGACAAGCGCGGGTGGGGAGGGAGAGAGGGAGAGAGGGAGGGAGGGAGGGAGGGAGCATGGTAGGTGACACAAGGGGTGCAGGTGCTGTGCGTCTAGTGTGGACCAATAGTTAATGGGCCTCCATGCGAGCGAGGAGAGCAGCCAGACAAGCGCGGGTGGGGAGGGAGGTTCAGATGATGACAGAGTGGGCGGAGGGTCAGATGATGACAGAGTGGGCGGAGGGTCAGATGATGACAGAGTGGGCGGAGGGTCAGATGATGATAGAGTGGAAGGGTTGGTTTGTGAGTCGCTGCTCCTGCTGCTAGTGCTAGTGGGAATGGTGCAATGTTTGAGGCAAAAAAAAAAACTTTACCGTTTCTGTATCTATGCATTAATTAGCCTGTGGATGGTCTGCAAAAAGGGAATGGGAGATTTTTTTTTGTCCACTCAATGACGTGGCTCTTGTGCTTGCTTATCCCCCCCTCACATCTCCCCCATCTCCCTTTTCCTCCCCTCCACCAACCACCTAAATCCGATGCAAACAGATTGCAGCAGTGGATGGCGCAGGGGCAGCAGGAGGGGGAGGAGCAGCAGAGGAGGAGGATCCGTTTGACTCTTTCCCAGACCCGCACGAGGTGAGGGGGGAGGAGGGGCAGGGTGTCAGGGGAAAGGGAAATGGAAATGGGCATGCTTTGAGTCGACTCAAAACACAGGTGGAAGGAGGGGAGCAGAGGAGGAGGATCCGTTTGACTCCTTCCCAGACCCGCACGAGGTGAGGGGGGTGGAGGGGAAAAGGGAAAGACAAAAAACGGAAAGACAAAAGGGTAAGGGGAGAGCAGAAATGGTGAGTCACTTGAGTCTGTTCTTTTGAGTATTAGATAGACTATTACGAATTATCAAGAGTGGGGCCTGCTGCTGCTGATAATGCGAATGTCCTCATTTCCCTCCAATTTGGATCGCAAGTCGTATGTTTTGCTCTTTAGGTGGACTTTAGAGAATTTGTGCCTCGTATTCACCTGCTGCTGACAGCTTCGCATTGGCTGCTGCCGGCCTTTCTGATCCCCTTCCTATGCCAATACCTTTCTCCCTTCCCCACCCATGCCCTTCTCAGTTTGCGGACGATGGCATGTTCCCAGACCCCCCAGAGGTATGAATATTGGTGTTGATGGGGTTTTTTTTCACACCTCTCGGGGAAGCTGGGCCAGGGTTTTCTGACCCCCAATGGTATGCATACACAGCTGGTGAAGGAATGGAGTTTTGGAATATAGGTGTTGGTGGGGGCTGGGGTTTACTGCACAGTTGCATGCAGGAATGAGCGTTGAAGGTTGACGGCATGTTCCCAGACCCCCCAGGCATGTGTCCGGACCGTTGGAAGCATGCTCCAGGCATCCCATATCTCCCCTCCTCGCTGATGCATCCTGCATCCCTTCGTGCAAGGGTTGGTTCACCCAACCCCCTATGTGGGTCACTTTTGAGAATTCTTGGAACCGAGCTGGTGCAGCCAGCCCCCATACTGGAGTCACTTGTGAGAATTCTCAAAAGTGACTCCAGTATGGGGGCTGGTTCACCGAGCTGTTGCATTGCAGCCAGCCCCCATACTGGTGGAAGAGCGATATGGTTGAATATAAATCGCTTTTGAGAGTTCTCAAGAGCGATCTGGTTGAATATAAATCGCTTTTGAGAGTTCTCAAGAGCGATCTGGTTGAATATAAATCGCTTTTGAGAGTTCTCAAGAGCGATCTGGTTGAATATAAATCGCTTTTGAGAGTTCTCAAGAGCGATCTGGTTGAATATAAATCGCTTTTGAGAGTTCTCAAGAGCGATCTGGTTGAATATAAATCGCTTTTGAGAGTTCTCAAGAGCGATCTGGTTGAATATAAATCGCTTTTGAGAGTTCTCAAGAGCGATCTGGTTGAATATAAATCGCTTTTGAGAGTTCTCAAGAGCGATCTGGTTGAATATAAATCGCTTTTGAGAGTTCTCAAGAGCGATCTGGTTGAATATAAATCGCTTTTGAGAGTTCTCAAGAGTGATCTGGTTGAATATAAATCGCTTTTGAGAGTTCTCAAGAGCGATCTGGTTGAATATAAATCGCTTTTGAGAGTTCTCAAGAGCGATCTGGTTGAATATAAATCGCTTTTGAGAGTTCTCAAAAGCGATCTGGTTCACGCAACCCCCCTTTCCCCAACTCTCTCCGCTCCCATTCCCTTCCCATCCCATCTCTCGCTCCCTCGTAGATGCACGAATTCGCCCAAGAGTCTCCCCTCCCCTACCCTTCCGTTTCCTCCCTTGCCCTCCCCGTACCCCTTTTCCACTCAGATGCGAGAATTCGCCCAAGAGCTGGGGCCCATGCTTGGTAGGTAAAATACACTCTGCCTCCCTCAGTTCCCCCTCCCCCGGGTCCACCCTGCCTCTGCTGCTGCTGCTGCTGCTGCACACACAGTCTCACCTTTCTTCCCCTCCGCATCTCTTTCCGTCTCCCCCGCCACTCAGATGCAAGAGTTCGCTCAGGAGTTGGGCCCCATGCTCGGCTCCTTCCCCTCCGCCTCCCTCGGTTCTTCCTCCCCCGGGTCAACCCTGCCGCTGCTGCGAGACGCAGAGCTGGTGGTGCAGGAGTGCATGGATCGGGTGCTGCTGGGCAGCCAGTGGGGGAGAAAACTCGCTGGGCTGGAGCCCTCTTTCACTGTTATCATCGACTCATTCGAAAGGAGGTGAGTCAAGGGCTTCTCTCCGATGTGACGCAGAGCTGGTGGTGCAGGAGTGTATGGATCGGGTGCTGCTGGGGTCCCAGTGGGGGAGGAAACTCGCTGGGTTGGAGCCTTCCTTCACAGTCATTGTGGATTCCTTTGAACGGAGGTGAGCAATTGCTGCTGCAGTGCTGCCCTCTCCCGGGTCAACCCTGCTGCCCTCTCCCGGGTCAACCCTGCCGCTGCTGCGAGATGCAGAGCTGGTGGGGCAGGACTGCATGGATCGGGTGCTGCTGGGGTCCCAGTGGGGGAGAAAACTCGCTGGTTTGGAGCCTTCTTTCACTGTCATTGTGGACTCGTTTGAACGGAGGTGAGCAGGTGCTGCTGCTGTCGTGCTGCCCTTCCCCGGGTCCACCCTGCTGCCGCTGCTGCGAGATGCAGAGCTGGTGGTGCAGGACTGCATGGACCGGGTGCTGCTAGGCTCACAGTGGGGGAGAAAGATTGCTGGGCTCGAGCCCTCGTTCACTGTCATTGTGGACTCGTTTGAACGGAGGTGAGCATGTGGCTTGTTGTCAAGGGAAGAAAGAATGTGAGCAGCAGAGCTGGTGGTGCAGGAGTGCATGGATTGGGTGCTTGTAGGCTCGCAGTGGGGCAGGAAGCTGGCTGGACTTGAACCCTCTTTCACTGGTATCGTCGAGTCGTTTGAACGGAGGTGAGTATGTGACGTGTCTCTGGGGGAAGGTAGGCGTGTAAGCAGCAGAGCTGGTGGTGCAGTGCAGGAGTGCATGGGTCGGGTGCTGCTAGGAAGTCAGTGGGGGAGAAAACTAGCTGGTCTCGAGCTTTCGTTTAATATTGGACTCGTCTCAACGGATGCAGAGATGCAGGTGTTTGTCAGCCGGGGGTGGATAAATCTGTTCCTTACACGGTGCTTATAACCCACAAGCCCACTCTATTCCCCTTCTCCCTCTTCATACTGCACAGTGGAGGAGGCAGAGGCGGTGGTGGATGCCGAGATAAAGGCGTTTGTGAGCTCCCGCCATCACCAGCCTCTTGCGTCTCCCCTTCCCACTCCTTTTCCTCGCATCTTGCCCTCCCCTTCCCCTCTTCTTTCTGGCCCTGTCTCGTCATTGGCAGGGTGGCGGAGGCAGCGGCGGCGGTGGATGCAGAAATCAAGGCGTTTGTCAGCTCTGCCATCACCATAAGCCCATTCTTCTGTCCCTTTTCCCGTCTCTCTGTGCATGCAACAGGGTGGAGGAAGCAGAGGCGGTGGTGGGTGCGGAGACCAAGGCGTTTGTCAGCTCTGCCATCACCAGCCTCCTCTCCCTTCTCTCTCTGCATGCGGCAGGGTCGATCCATAAGCCCAACCCCTTTCCCCTTCTCTTTCTTCAAACTGCAGAGTGGAGGAGGCAGAGTGGATGATGCGGAGATCAAGGCGTTTGTGAGCTCTGCCATCACCAGCCTCCTCTCCCTTCTCTCTCTGCATGCGGCAGGGTCGACCCATAAGCCCACCCCCTTTCCCCTTCTCTTTCTTCAAACTGCAGAGTGGAGGAGGCAGAGGCGGTGGTGGATGCGGAGATCAAGGCGTTTGTCAGCTCTGCCATCACCAGCCTCCTCTCCCTTCTCTCTCTGCATGCGGCAGGGTCGATCCATAAGCCCACCCCCTTTCCCCTTCTCTTTCTTCAAACTGCAGAGTGGAGGAGGCAGAGTGGATGATGCGGAGATCAAGGCGTTTGTGAGCTCTGCCATCACCAGCCTCCTCTCCATTCTCTCTCTGCATGCGGCAGGGTCGATCCATAAGCCCACCCCCTTTCCCCTTCTCTTTCTTCAAACTGCAGAGTGGCAGAGGCGGCGGTGGTGGATGCAGAAATCTAGGCGTTTGTCAGCTCAGCCATCACCATAAGCCCATTCTTCTGTCCCTTTTCCCGTCTCTCTGTGCATGCAACAGGGTGGAGGAGGCAGAGGCGGTGGTGGATGCGGAGATAAAGGCGTTTGTCAGCTCAGCCATCGCCATAAGCCCACTCTCTTGTCCCTTCTCTCTCTGCATACCGCAAGGTTCAACCATACCCCTCTTTCCCTTCTCTCTGTGCATACTGCAGGGTGCAGGAGGCAGAGGCGGCGGTGGATGCAGAGATCAAGGCGTTTGTCAGATCTGCCATCACCAGCCTTTTACCTCTCCCTTCCCACTCCTCGTCCTCACATCTTGTTGCCCTCCCGCCGCGGTCCCATCTTTTTTGCAGAGTGGAGGAGGCAGAGGCGGTGGTGGATGCGGAGATCAAGGCGTTTGTGAGCTCTGCCATCACCAGCCTCCTAAAGAAATGCGATCTGCTGCCACAACAACAGCTCTCCACCGCGCCTCACAAGGGGAAAGCTGAGGACAAGGCAAAGGAAAGGGGAAAGGCAAAAGACAGCTCTTCAAAAAGCGAGATGAAGGGGGATTCAGAGCAGGCGTTGTCAGTGCAGCAGCAGCAACAGGAGCAGGTGCAGCAGAACCGGCAGCAGCAGCAGGTGAAGGAGGAAAAGGGTTTGTCAGAAGCTGGTTCTTTTCTCTCTTCCAATCCCTCTCCCAGTCCTGCCAGGACCACAGCCACAGATGATACTATTGTACCCACACCCCCTGATACTATCACATCTACTGCCCCTGATGCTATCACACCCACAGCCCCTGGTACTGTCACATCTGGTCACAGCAACACAGCTCTCGATAACAGCACACCCTCTACTACCACTATCACAGCTACTACAGCAGCAACCGCCGCAGACTCATCCGCTTCCAAAACACCCCTTACAGGCACACGGAGTACAGTCACAGCTGCTGGGGGAAAGGGGGGGATGTTGAAGGGGAGGGGGAGTGGGAGCAAGGAGGGCAGCAAGGAGGGGCATGCTCTGGAAGGGGCTTTACTGGCTGGACTTTTAAGATTGATGGGGGAGGATGGTGCTGCTGACCTGCTATACAAGGCAATGGGAATTGGTGGCAAAATTGCGGGTGGTGTTGGTGGGAAGGAAGGGGGTGGGGGAAAGAGTGGGGGAGGGAGTGGAAAGCGAAGGATGGGAGAGGACGAGGCTTCTGAGCTGTTGGGTAAGGCTATGGCCTTTTTGAACAGGGATGAGGGTGATTCTGGGGGCAAGAGTGGGGGTGACGTTGGTGGGAAGAGTGGTGGGAGTGATATGGTGAAGTATGGGAATGATAAGAGTGTTGGCTGTGTGGATGAGAAGGTGGAAAATGGGAAGAGTGGGGATGATAAGGCACAGTCAGCTGGCAGCAATGATGGGGGCAATACTGGATTGAGTGGTATAGTTGGGAAGGATAAGGTGTTGATAGGAAGTGGTACGGGAGCGGATAGCAGTGGAGGGATGAGCCCTGCTGAAAGCAGCATTGATAAAACTGCAGCCAGCAATGTTGGTTCCAGCAGCAGCAGCAGCAGCAGCAGCAGCAGCAGCAGCAGCAGCAGCAGCAGCAGCAGCAGCAGCAGAAGCATCGAAGCTAATGTCTCGGATAATGCAGAGCTGAGTAGGAGAGAGGGGATCAAAGGGGCGGTCGAGAAAAGGGAGGAGGATGTAAAGGAGATAGCAGCTGAGGAGAAGCATCTGGTGCAGAGAGTTTTAGGTTCGACTCCCAAGACTGCTGATGAGGATCCGGCACAGGAGAGCATAAGGCAGGTGGTGAGTGCGATACGGGGGAAGCTGGCTGCTGCTGTGGCTGAAGGGACACGTGGTATGGCTGGATTGGTGGATTCTGCCAAGGAGGCGGTGGCTAGACTGGCCCGTCAAGAGGGTGCCTCTTCAATTGAATATGCTTCTAACGAATCTGCTTCAAATGAATCTGCAGAGACTGTTGCAGGAAAAGGTTCTGTAGAGTTGGGAGCTGGTGTTACAGGTGGGGTTGCTTCGGCAACAGAGCCTGGTCTTGCAGCTGGTGCAACAGGGCCTGACAAGTCACAAGCGAAACTGAGTGCAACACATGTAGGCGCTGCACCATTTGCGGCTAAAGTGAGTGAATCTCCTGCAGGAGATGTGGTGCCAAAAGAGCTTGCAGCAGCAGAAGGTGGAATGGCAGAACCTTCTAAAGTGGGTGCTTCTGAGACAGAGGACACGGGGATATCTGAATCAGAGATGAGAGATGCTGAGGAGAGAGCTGCTGCGGCTGCCGCTGCTGCTGCTGCAGTTGCAGAAATGGCTGCTGCAGCTGCTGCCAACGCTGCTTCTTTGGCTCGTCCTGAACGTCTGCCTATGTCCCAGCCTAAGCTAGCAATTTTGGGGGTGACAGTACCGAAGCTGCAAGTCCGTTCCGAGCCTCAAGGTGGCAACACGGAGGCCAAGGAAAGTAAGGGTGAGAGTGATGAAGGGAGCGAGAGCAGGAGAGATGGAGGGAGTGAAAGTAAGAGTGGGGGAGGGAGTGAGGAAACAGGTTCTGGTGCTGTGAAGAATGATTCTTCAACTGAGGGAAAAGCAAAGACAATAGGTTCGCCAGCAAGCGGAGGGCCTAATGGGAAAGCCTCAGATGATAACATTTTTGCCACTGCCAAAGGACCTGTGGTGTTACCTGATGTTGAGGCAGCAGCTGCAGCAGCAGCAACAGCAGCAGCAGCAGAGGCAGCAGCACAGGCAGCAGCAGAGGCAGCATTAGCTGGAGTGAAAGAAGCCATTGCAAACGCATCAAGGGACTTCGAGGAGACCGTTCGCAGGGGTGGTGTTCCGGACGCGAGTCGGGACCCACTGTTCATTGCAGACATAGGGGAGGACAGGGAGGAAGCTGGGTGGGGAGATAGATCAGAATTTGGCCTCAGACGTGCTGGGTGATCTGCTAGGTAGAGTTTGAGGCCTTTCTGGCAGAGCTGGACTCAGTCTTGTTGACCAAGACAACTTTGTGACAGGCAAGTCAAATGTTGTATATGCATGTCACAGTTGCAAGACCACTCCTGGATGTTTCGCGAGTTCCTTATCTCAACATATGTGGTACGCTTTTCATTCAAGACGTTGATAAAAAGTGAGTGACACACACAACTCTCATGGATGAAGTCACATAACAAAATAATGTCACAAAAGATCGGCTAGGGATCCATCCAACCTCGTGTCTTTGAACATGGAGACTTCTTTTTCATAGTCTTCAATGCAGAAGACCTCCTTGGCTTGGTAGGAAAGCTGAGCACGTGACTCATGACTTCCACAAATATTTTCAAGCTGGGAAAGAACCCTTGCCTGGGTATCCTTTTCTGCCGCTGAAGCTGGTCGGTAGCGGCTCACGAATTCCAGCAGGCTTTGTGATGTCTTCTTGCTTTTCAGGGCACCGACCTTGGCAGAGTCAAGCTGAGTCCAGGAATCAATCTTAGAGACCAACTTTTTAGAGGGATGCAGCTTTGGGAGGAACTGTGCTGCTTCACTCTGTCCCAGTCTTAGAATCTGCAGCACAGAGCTTCCAAGCTCTTCGGTTTCAAGGTCGCAAGGAGCTAGCACCTCGCTCACAAGCGTCCTTGCAAGGCTGTCCTTCTTGTCCTTTGGGCACTGCTTGAACATACTTAATACCAAAACGCAGCGGCTCTTCGCGTTTCCATCCATCAGCTGCGTAACCAGCTCCTTCATCAAGCCCTTGATGCGAGTATCCTTGTGCAGCAACCCCACAGCCAGCCGCTTCATAAATCCTTGTGCCTTCATTTTCTTAGAAAGAAGCAGATGCGCATAGACAGCATACGCCTCCAGTTGTGCATCACTGGTGTCAGAATCCATCAGGCTATTCACTCCATCCAAGAAATCTGGGAACTCATTCGGAGAAGTGAGGATTAGTTTAGCCACAGTGGCAAGTGCAGCGACCTTCACCGGTTTCTCCTCATCCTCCAAGAGTCGTGTGATTAGAGTGCGATGCTGCTTTGCAAGGTCAATAGACAGCAAGAGAAAGCTACTCAAGCTTCTCAATGCTGCCAGTCGCACAGCAAGTGGAACATCACTTTCGGAGGCAAGCGAGACGAGCATGGGAATATAGCATCCCGGCATGGAGTTCCCATCCAAAAGCAGTTGCGAGAAATGCTGGGCCGCATCTGCACAGATTTTTGAAAAATCATTCATAGATGTGTTAAAACCAGAAACTCAGGCAAAGGGTATATCACGTACCTTCTTCTTGCACCTTCAGATCGTCATGTTGCAGATAATTATATTCTGCATTCTTGGATTCACCTCTGGTTGTGCGCAGGCGCTTCATGAAGATATCAGACGCAACCTTGTACCGTTGAGAGAGGTGGCCAATAAGGTCGAGGAATGTAACTGAAACTTCTACATTCTGCTCTTCTTGCCACAGACCATGATGTTCCATAAAGGTTTGAAGAAGTCTTTGGGATATTTGAACTGAGTTTTGCATTGAGAAAACACAGTTCATTGTCTCCTCAAGAAAAGTTTGAGACAGTTGGTTGAAATCCTTCACAAAAATCTGCTGAAGCTCAACTCCAGTGCAGTGTCCAGACTGCAGGGCGGCTGCAAAAGCCTGCAATAAGAACAAAGTAAGTGGGATGAATGCACATCTTCACGCGAGCTGAAAGAACCCCACCATACCTTTAAGCACCAAGATACCATATGTCTGGAAGTTCTTTGTTCTTCCTGACTGGTCTTGAGAAAAAGTTGAACAGCTCGCTGAAGATGCTTGACCATGACTGAGTCATATGTACTGGAACCTTTATGTTCAGTGCAGGTTTGAGCGAAAAGCCAAATGATTTTGAAAGGTGCTGCACACCCCTTCGAGAGACTTTCTGATTGCGAAATGCAAGAAAAGGCTTGGTCCACAACCTTCCTGTAGGTTTTGATGATGGCGTGATTGCGGGAAGCCTCATCCTTCAGAAAATTCTTCACTGTTGCCACGGATGTCTCGGAACATTTCACAGAAAACTTCGCCCAGCGTTCATAATCATTGAGATAGCAATGAATGACTTTGCTCGCCACAGGCCGCGATGGTCGGCTAAGGCCAACGTTGAAGAGATTCAACAGCTCCTCATACACCATTTGATGAGGGAAAGGTGACAGACAGAGCACTTCACCAACTCCTTCCCAGGTCTCCAGGCACGTAAGACCTGACTCTGGCGGAACTGATATCAGCCTGAACAGAGCGTCCATAAGTGGCTTTAACTTTCCGACATGATCCCCCCGGCCATGAAAAGACAAGAACTGCTTAGAGAGGCTAACAGCTTTCAGCCTGACAAGCTTGCTTTTGTCGCACAGCGCAGATGCTAATGCTTCTGAAATAACCTCTGTCAATTCCGTGCCGTGATGATTTCCCGGCTTCGCAGCGGCGACGAGAGAGGTTATAGCCTGTAGTCGACATATCGCAGAGCGGTTGTTGAGGAGAGCTTGCAAAAGCTTTACTAGTGCGAGCGAGTCGCTTTTGCTGATCCGATGGCTTTGCTCTAGGCAGCTTCCGACGATGCTGATGTAGTGCTTACGAACAGAGGCTCTTTCGCAAGTCAACATCAACGATAAACGATCTGGAGTAGGAAAACGTCACATTTGGACGAATATAGAAGATCATGACATAAAGTCGACAGTACATATGTAATCAAACGGACTTACCCAAATACAGGCCTGTTATAATCAACGCGTCTTTTCCGCAAGATGCTCGCTTCGCCAGCTTGGATGCGAGCGACTCTGTGCGACAGAATCAGTTTCATTCAACTATTGATTCATGCATTAAACTCGCATTGGCTTACCAAGTTTGTTCCACGAGTCAACGTCCAGAGTACCTCGTGACGCCAATGACTCAATCGCAGCAACATCAGATGACTGCGAAAACACAATCGGCATTGTCATTGGCTGCTCGAAATCTATAAAATCAACAAGAATAACTGACCAGCTGTTGTAAGGAATCCATTTCTGTGCGTTTGGCTGGCTGGATCAGTTATGATGGATCGAACAGGACAAGTTATTATTGCTGCTGAATCCTGATGGAAGTTGCTCTACACAATTTGGGAATGGGAAGGTTGCGATAGGATGCTATTTGAATGGATGGATTAGGATGCTCTTCACAAATTCTAGGGTCCCAAGAGCGCGTACAGGAAAAGGTTCAAGATGCCGTTACAAGGTTCTCACTATGCAACAAATTGTCTGTCATTGTTTCGCTAATCCTCGCTAGGCGCGGAGGCAGTTGGTAACTGTCGACTAGATATCAATTTTCGCTACATTTAAAAAACAGTGGTGGCCAGCCATGAGACCATATCAGTGTATTGTTCGCGCCCTCTATACGAGCTCTGGCATAGCCATGGCATACCGTATACCGAGTGTCATGGAGCTCTTGCAAGGCAGACGGAGCACAAGCTTCGGAGTCAAACCGTTATAACAACATCCTTCATGTCAAAGCGAACTGGATCTGATGCGAATGGAATCAAAAGCCGCCAGATGAAGCGAAGATTCTCCTTGTCAGCAGTTCTAGCGTCATCGGAAGGAAGGGCTAGCAGAAGGAAGGCTCATCTGATAGCAGAAATGGCTGCAGGCGGTCGAAAACAAAGAAATCCTTCATGGCGGCCCGAATGCGTACTGTTCCGTTTATTCTTCCTAGTCCTCGCCGCGAGCCGGGACATCGTCGTTGGAGTCCACGCAAGCTCCGCGGCGGAGCGACGAAAGGAGATGGATCAAATGCTGCAAGCTCAAGTGAGAGGAAGTGAGAGGATTCTTCCGTGCCTGATTTTTCCCTGCCAGTGGCGAATGTGTCAAGTGAGGAAGACTGGAGCAGAGCAGATGTAGCAGAATGTGTACTGTGTGTTTTGATGAAGGAACGAGAGTTTCACATTGTGTCATCTCGTTTCAACTCCCACCATCCCTCCATTCGTACTCCAGCTAGTAGCCCCACCTGTGTTTTACATGTCGGGCCCAAACCCATTTTCTAAGTTGTCTTGTCATCACCTGTGAATTTGATGAGGCCACCTGGCATTCTCAATTGGCCTCCTCCTTAGCTTCTGCTCTCTGAACTTGCACCTATCCCCATCTGTCCCTTATTTGTCGCTCTCTTCGATTCCTTGCCCCACGTCATCTCTAACCAGGTGGATGAGATGCTGGCGTCATTCGAAAAGGGTGCTGACGTGGCATCGCTGACTCAGCAGCAGACGTCATGCTCGTGCTATCACATCCGCAATGATTACTGCTGCCACCAGTATATGTGCATCTGCTCGCCCATGTGCTGGAACGGCTATGAGGTGATGGGGGTATGAGAGGAATGAGACTATGAGGGGAATGAGGCTGTGAGGGGAATAAGGATATGAGGGGAATGAGGCTATGAGGGAATGAGGCTATGAGTTGAATGTGAATAATGACACAGCTCGCCAGCATGGGTCACTGCCAGTACTTTCGCATGTGCGTGCTCATTTGTTGGAAACAGCTATAAGGTGAATGCAGTGGCGCACATGGATATCAGGTGAATGCACCCACACCATCCCCAACACCAACCCTAACACAGCACCCTAATCCCCTGTGGACCACACACACCACCAGGAATGATTCGCATCACCACACTCGTCGTGATTCATATCAGTCGACTCAAAAGTCAGCAGCAGATCACACAGCATCCTAACCCCCCTTGGAGGACCACACATGCATCCAGGAATGTTTTACATCACCACCCTCGTCGTGATTATTTCCCGTTCCCATTACCCCTTCCAGCTCATTTCTCTCGGTCAACCCAAGTGCGCACCAGCAACAGAGCACACAGCACCTCCACCCGGCCAGGACCCCGTCCTCTCCCCCCTAGACTGCTCTCACCAGCGCGAATTCACCTCCACACTCTTGGATCTCGTCTCCATAACTGCAGAAGCACGCTTGGCTGAGCGAAACGCAGGCGGGAGGAGGGGCGGACGAGGGGATGGTGGGGAAGGGTGGTTGGGGAGCCGGAGGGAGGTGGACTGGCGGTTTGGGCTGACCATGCTTCAGCGGTTTAATGACAGCTCCGTCAACCTCTCCCACTTTGCAGGTAGGTTTCTCAGTTTGCAGGTAGATCTGGTAGGAGGTGTCTCAGCAGTACTCATCCAAGGTCCTTCTTTTGCCTTGTTTTCCAGTTTGGGCTGACAATGCTTCAGCGGTTCAATGACAGCTCTGTCAACCTCTCCACTTTGCAGGTAAGTTTCTCAGTTTGCAGGTAGGACTGGTAGGAGGTGATTTTGTAACCCTTTTCCTGTCTCCGAGGCGAATCGTAAATCCCCTGTCCGTTCACATTCACATCTCCCTCCTCTTTGCTGTTTTGTCAAATCCCTCGCTCCGGTAAGATGCCGTCCTTGGTAGGCTAACACGTGTTTGTCTCCCCTCCTGTTTCTTGCGTATTTTTAAGTCAACCAAGCTCACGACCCCATCCTGTCCATCCGTAACTCCCTCCTCTCTGCGATTCTCTCAAAACCCCCTCTGCTTTAATGGGTTCTTGTTGAGTGGAAGTCCACCCAGCTTGCAGGGCTAGGCATCGGCTGCGCCTCGCACTCTCACACCTCCCCTTAGCCCTCCGATTCTTGAGGCGCCTAAAGAAAGCGCCTGTAAATTGCACACTCAAACCTCCCCGTTGCTCTGCCCCGGTGGCCTGTTGTCAAATCAAAACGCAGAGAAGGCCCTCACCCTCCTCCTGGCCAACAACTTCACAGCGCCAGCTCTGCTGCGCCCCATGGTCACACGCTTCATGTTGCCTCGCGAGGAGCTGGCTCTAGAAAAGTGAGTAACCGCGTGGGTTAGGGTGCACCTTACAGGATGAGTCCTGTAAGACACTGCAACTCCCCTGAGCGGGCCCTTCACTCCAGCTCTGCTACACCCCATGGTCACTCGCTTCATGCTCCCTCGTGAGGAGCTGGCTCTAGAAAAGTGAGCAAACACTGCAATTCACTTAGGCCCTTAAGTGAGTGGGTCAATTACGCTGTTTCTGCTTCGCACCATGGTTACTCGCTTCATGCTCCCCCGCTAGGAGCTGGCTCTAGAAAAATGAGTGGACAATTTGGTTAGGGTGAGCTCTGTAGAGCGCTACAACTCGCTTAGGGCCCTCAGCAGGCACTTTATGCCAGCTCTTGTTGCTCTGCTTCATGCTTCCTCGCGAAAAGCTGGCTATAGAAAAGTGAGCACGCGCTTATGGTGCAGCAGGGACCTTTAGGCCGCCGCCACTCGCTTAAGCCGCTTTACCCCGGCTCTGCTGTGCCCCATGATCACTTGCTTCATGCTCCCTTGGGAGGAGCTGGCTTTTGAAAGGTGAGCAGTGAGCAGTGAACACACGTTTGAATCGGGCCCCTAGGGAACCACAGTTTAGCAACACTCATCTCAGAAGGCTTGTGCTTGCCACGTAAGTCACCTCCCCCTTTGTGTCACATCCGCTTATGACAAAACCCTTTGACACATCCTCTTGTGTCGCACATCCCCTTGTGTCACAACCTCTCTGTTTCACGTATCCAGGATGAGGATGAAGGGAGGCGAAGCGGTGCACGCGCGGTTGCTGCAGGCAATGATAGAGTTCGCCGTCACTCCCGTGCTCTCTTCTCGCATCCACATGTCTCGCCATCTGTATGTTGTTCCTCTCACCAATGACTTTTGAGGCGCCTCAAAAGCACGCCCGTGCTCTCCCCTCGCATGCACATGTCTCGCCAACTGTATGCTGTTCCTCTCACCAATGACTTTTGAGGCGCCTCAAAAGCACGCCCGTGCTCTCCCCTCGCATGCACATGTCTCGCCAACTGTAAGCTGTTCCTCTCACCAATGACTTTTGAGGCGCCTCAAAAGCACGCCCGTGCTCTCCCCTCGCATGCACATGTCTCGCCAACTGTATGTTGTTCCTCTCACCAATGACTTTTGAGGCGCCTCAAAAGCACGCCCGTGCTCTCCCCTCGCATGCACATGTCTCGCCAACTGTATGCTGTTCCTCTCACCAATGCTTGCATACTTGCAATCTCTGCGTCCTTGTTCTTTCTGCTTCCTTGGTCTATCTGCTTCAGTGCTCTTCCGTCGTCTTAATCACCCTTGCTCTCCCTGTACCCTTGCTCTCCCTGTACATGCTCTCCCTGTACCCATGCTCTCCCTGTACCCTTGCTCTCCCTGTACCCTTGCTCTCCCTGTACCCTTGCTCTCCCTGTACCCTTGCTCTCCCTGTACCCTTGCTCTCCCTGTACCCTTGCTCTCCCTGTACCCTTGTTTTCCCTTTATCCTTGCTCTCCCTGTACCCTTGCTCTTCTGATTTCCCTGCACACTCTCCATGCCTGTATCCCTGCTCCCCACCAGCCACGACCACAGAACCTTGGGAGACAGCCCCATGGCATTCGGGCTGGTGGAGTTCGAATCCGCATGGAACGCTGCCACCGATGACCGCCCTCTCTGCTTTGAAAGGCTCCTCCTCCCGGGAGTTCTCAAGGGGCAGGTGTATCCGTCTCAACCCACCCAAGGCACCTACCTGGACCGACACCTGAGAATCAAGCTGGGGCTGGAGCCGCCTGGGAAAGTGGAGTGGGGGAGGGATGGGATGCGGGGGTGGCGGCCGCGAGTGCTGTATATCACACGGCTGGGAGCGGAGTTGAAGCTTCGCCGCACCTTCCTACCGGAGAGTCATGAAGCTCTGCTGAGGCTGATGGAGGAGCTGGGATTGCAGGTAAATTTTTGGTAGCTTCATGGTGGGTTCCTGGTACGTTCCTGGTGGTTTCCTGGTAGGTTCCATGCTGGCAGGCCTCAGAGTGTGGTTTGGGGCAGCCCAAACATATTCAAGTGAATGCATTTAACGAGTGGAGGATGCATCTATCAGTGTGGTGTAGTAGATGTCTGAGACGATAGATGATTGTGATTGTTGTTATGGATGATATGCACTCCTTGGGTGGTTATATAACTTTTCAACTCAACACTTGAAGCCCTTTCTGTCGTCTCCATATGTGTTCATTCCTCAGGTGACAATGGTCGAGATGGGCCAAATGACATTCCGCCAGCAATTCGAAGCTATTCAATCAGCCGATATTGTGATCTCCCTGCATGGAGCTGCACTCACCAATGTGGCTCTCTTCGCCCGCCGCACCACCGCATTAATCGAGATAATGCCGTACGGCGCTGTGCACGAGCTCTACTATTCGCTCTCGCTTAACTCGGGCATTCCGTATTTTCTCAAGATGTGTCGCAAGGGTGAGGCGCAGGAAGGGGACTTGGCGGAATTCGAGGGGTTGAGCTACAAAGAATGCATGCACAAAAACCTTGCGTGCAAGTGGCACCATATCCACATACGGCGGATCGAACTCACCGACCGGGATTTAATTGACATGAAGAAAATGCTCCTGGTTGCAAAGGACATTGTTGGAGCAAGCTTGGGAGGGCTTGGCAGAGAATTCAGCTCTGGGGAGATGCCTGGTTGGGCTGACGAGAGGTTTGGGGCCATGTGTGTTGCTAGGGATGTGGACTTGTACGGCAAAAGGAGTGATTTTCTGAGGGTGCCTTATCCAGGGAATGCTGCAGAAGACTTTGTTTGTGTTTTTTCAAGAGACAATGCTTAACATGTAAGGTACGGTACGGTATGATAATGTATGGTCAAATACTTCAACCACCATATATAAAAATCCCAACATATGGAGCCAAGCCACAGTGTGGGCCGCCAGCACTCATACCATGCTGGTCTGAGAAAGAACCTTATGATCTTATAGAGACTAGACTTAATATTGTATTGCAGCAAAACTCTTCAACTCTTGAGCAGGTGATGAGAACAAGAATCAGGTAATAAGTGAAGATACAAGAAAATATTTATTCCTAGAAGGCACCTATTTGATGATGTACTTGTACACTCAAACGACCCTTATCGAAGCCATTTGTGTAGAGTGCTATTTAAGGCGACAGCAGAAAATTGCATGATTTTCGATTTTTGAGGAGACCAGCAATCTTGCTGCTGGTTCTTGCTTCACATCTACTTCCCAGTCGGCTCAACTTGTTGGCGATTTCGTCTTTGGACATATACCTAGCCCTTTCCGTTTTACTAGCTATTTCCCCATCCGTCTGGTTCCTTCTCAGCTGCTTTGCGAAAACATAAAGCACGCTGTTTGAAACAGAGTTAGCGAGGGTAGGCCACACGAAATTGGATTCTGCAGAACAGCCGGTTTGTTCTTGCAGGGAGCGTCAGGAGTTCACGCTGACCATGTCGCAACCCGGCACATGCTCGCATGACCATGACTGTAGCGATCATGACTGTGGAGCTGGCTTCTCGCTTTATAAGAACGTCGACCTCCCTAAGGTGATTATCCTTTCCTGCCTTTTTGTCCGGCCTGCTCTCCCCCTCCCTTCCGCTGAACCTGCTCTCGTCTCCTGTTCTCTCGCCCTTCCTCTCACCTCCCTTCCTTTGGTCCTGCTCTCACCTACCGTTCTCTTGCCCAGTTCGCCGCCTCGTTGGTTTTATTTACTCTTTTTTGTTCCGACCCCATTCCCCTCCCTCAATCCCCCCCTTTCCTTTTTCCCTTCCTCCCGCCACCGTCCCTGCCCTCCCTCCATCCATCCCTCACATATTTTTTCAAAGGCCAGTTAAAGCAGGGGAGGGGAGCGCCAAAGCCGTCTACTGCACCTGGAAAATTTGATGGCGTTCCCCTCTCTCATCGCCTTTCTTCTTCCTCCCCCCACCTCTCCCCCCACACGCTCTCTAGACTCTAGATGCGAGCGCCCAACGAGGTAGCAGAGGGGAGCGCCACGCGAAATTGTCAAACGATAGCAGTGACGATTTCGTAAACAATTTTTGCGCCCATCCGAAACTATTTGCGAACTAATTTTGACGTTGCATTCCAGATCTGGTTACACTCGCGAGGTTTTCATACTTCACGACCCACAACCACCAATTTCGACAACACCCTGGTTCGCGAGCCAGTCACGTTTCTTGCCCCTAGCAACCTTCCTAACTTAGAAACTCTTGGACCCCGGGTTTTAAACTAGACAACTGTAGTATGTACGTTCGACTTTCCTTATCTTACCGTTGTCGTCAGTTTCCCTTCCGTTTTCCTCCCTTCCCTTCCCGCCCTCTCACTCCCGTCCTCTTCCTTACCACCCTCTCGCATGAACTCAGCAAGCTCTGGACAGTAACGAGGATGACCCAGAGCTCATACTCTTCATTCTGTGAGTCAGTCTGCCAATGGCTGTTTCATTATTGCTCTGCTGTTCAGAATTCTGCTTCCTCAAGTCGTAGGTTCAACATGGATGATTTGGAGCTCTTGTTTTCCACTCCATAATTCTGTAACCCCCTCAGTCTCGAATAATGCATGATTGATCAGGTCTCGTCTCTCTTACCGAGAAGGGCTTACCACTTGGTATGCATGCAATCAATTACCCCGGGTTTTTCACAAGTATACATCTTTGCGTGCAAGCAGAGACAATGAACCGAGGCTTTATAAACCCCTTTTTGAAACCACGTTAAAGATACATTTCTCTCCAATGTGTTGTGTTGCGCTGATTCGTAACAGCTGTGAAGGTCAAGAGCACCGCGATTATTGGGGAGAGCAGATGGGACATTTGTGAAGGGCACTCTTGGTGCCTGTATTCATTTGAGGGACATTTGTCACCGCTGTACTGTACTAATGTGCGCAGATTCACAACCGATGTGAAAATCAAGAGCATCGCGATTATTGGGGGAGCAGATGGGACCAGCCCTGCCAAGATGCGAGTGTAAGTGTGCCTTCCTTAGCGCATCTGCTTGTATTTGCAGCATTCATCCGAATATCTGTCAAATCCAATCCAGTCACCGTATTTTCCCCCTAATTCTGGTCCTCCTCTTTCACCTCACCTCCCTCCCCTCTCCTTTCACCTCTGTCCAAGCAGCTTTACGAATCGTGAGGACATTGATTTCTCTGTGGTTAATGATCTGACTGCAGTGCAGGTAACATCCGATAGTCCGAAAGGTAACACTTATTGGCCTCACATATGATATTTGATGACCAAAGATTTTCACACGACTTACATTATACATATGCAATGTTTTCCGCTCCTTCATTTCGTTGCTATGCACACAGAATCGAATGCATTGACGCATCTGTCACGTATGCGTGTCTGATTGTTGGCGCACGTGTGATTGTATCAGGAATGGGATTTAACAGAGAATCTTCAAGGCGAGCTTGAGTACACCACCAAGTAAGGCAAATTGTTCCTACTGTAGTCATCAGTATAATTTTCTTGTTCTGAGACTATTATTAACTTCAGCAAATTAACAAACACGTCCACTCTTGGTGTATGCATCACTATCAAATCAATCCGTGTAAATATCGATCATACAATCGTGTGATCATTGATAACGTCGAACCAATGTTACCATCTCATGTGAGGTTATGTCAGAATACACGTTATGGACCCAAATTCCATCTTCCCATGTCCCAGAAGGTATTTCTTCCTTCACTCCGGTTCTCCTCATCCCATCCCATCTCCCTTACTTCACTGCAGTCGCATCTGATCGTCCCCCAATCTCGTCCCTTCCCTTCGTCCGTCCCCTTTCCCCAGATTCTCAAAGTTTCAGGGCGTGTCCTCTCTCACCCTCCATCTTCCCTCGAATTTTGGGGGTGATTTCTCTCGGATCCACTTTGTGGGACTCAAAGGAGAGGCCACCCAGGTATGGGAGGAGTAGGAGTCGCAAGGAGAAAGTTGAGAGGGGTGTGTAACAATCGAATGCTGAACGGGCCACTCAGGTATGGAAGGAGGAGTCACAATGAGAAAGTTGAGTGAGGTGCCTAACAAACAAACGCTGGATGGACTCAAAGGAACATCCGTTCAGGAAGGGGAGGAGTAGGCGGAGGAGTATGGCTAAAGAGGGTTCCTATTTGTCAGAGGAGGACTTGTGGGCTGAGGAAGACAGGATTAGTCTTTGCAGCCCTGGAGGCGCCTGCCAGTGTTGTCGCATTCGTGCCACCATACACATCACGTGCCACCATACACATCACGTGCCACCATACACATCATGTGCCACCATACACATAGCACGTGCCACCATACACACATCCTCCCCTTCCCTCCCACCTCCTACCCTTTCTCCCCCTGGTGCATGCTCAGAACAATCGGAGAGCGGTGGCTGCAGTTGTGTACGAAGCACAGGCCAACCCCAGCGACCATGAGTAGTCACACATGCCTTCAACCAAACACACCAACCACCCACCATTGTTCACCTCTTTACATCCACGTCCCTTCCCTTGTGTACCATAGCATTCGAAATGGTTTCAGCTGCATCTGTACTGGTTCCAGAATTCACAGCCCTCAACGCCCTATGAAACCCTGTCGCTGTCCCCTTTCTCGTCTTTTATCTGAGCTGCCCCTTCTGTTTTGTGGTATGATGCTTACGGGCTAACTTATGCATGTGTTGGTTCGTATCATTGTGTTACTCAGGGTTCCGGCAGACATGGGAGTCCCGAAGGTGCTCCATCATTAGGTGTACAGTGTACAGGGTCTTCGCCTTCTGGGGGGTTGGCTCATATGATATCTCTCTCACTGTATTGGAAATAGGTAGGGGGTACTCAACTTCTAGCTCATTTCTAGTAAGGGGTCACATTCAGGGGATATTTTTGCCACATAGTTAACAAGGCTTGAGGAGATTTCAGCTTGGATTTATGCCATTAAAAGTTGAAATCTGACAATTGTTTGCACGGAAACACATTTTCCTTTCTGGGTTCAGGATATGCAAACAGATTTAGCAAACATTATTATAGCGCACAACATATAGATTGGATGTGGCTAGTACAGCGTACGTTTCATTCAATGTGTCGTTCTGAGCGCGACAGCAGAACGCCAGGAATATTTGTGTCAGCCACCAGGCACCTGTCAGAGAACGCAAAAACCGCCAGGCACACTTGGTAGTTGCGTCGCCATGGCATGCTCGTTCGATCAGGATTCTGAGTATTAGTTCTAGAAGAAAGAGTTCGATATCCTCTTACGGGTATGCTCTAAGGTCTTAGCAGACGATAATGGCTCACCAGGAATCGAGAATGAGGCTCAGGCTACACAATGTGGGTCGTGGATTCTTGGCGTCGTTCGCGATTCAACTATTTTCCCTCGTTGTTGCGTCTGCTGAGTCCTTTGATGCATCCTCCATCGGAGTCTGTTGGGGAAGAGTAGCATGGCAGCCGTTACCACCGCGAATCGTTGTGAAGCTTCTTCAGGTAGGTGTACTGTTCCATTTCTTTAACATCCGTACTTAGGATGTGCGTCCGATTCTTACAGCTTCTCTACAGGACAACAAAATATCAAAAGTGAAACTTTTCAATGCTGACCCGCAAGTCATGAAGGCCCTCGTTGGGTCCAAGCTGGAGGTGCGTTCGGTTTCCCTTGCATTATTGCATCATCCTTCTGCTAGCTAGTGTCCCTGACTTCTGTCTCATTAGGTGACGGTGATGGTAGCCAATGAACTGCTGAACGACATGGCCATGAGTCCCAAGAAGGCTCAGGACTGGGTTGACTATAACGTCAAGAGATACGCGTTCCCAGGAGGCGCCGATATAAGGTAAGATTACCACCAAGAGGCCAAGATGCATGTTCAGCCCTGCATCTGCGGCTAAGCGTGAAACGTTTTTTGTCTCAGATACGTCTCTGTCGGAAATGAGCCGTTTCTGACATGGGACAATGGAGAGTATAACCTCGTTTTGGCGCCAGCCGTTCAGAACATCTATGACTCTTTAAAGGCTGCTGGATTGGACCAGAAGATTAAGGTTACTGTCGCGTTTAATGCTGACGTCATGGGAACGTCTTACCCTCCGTCCAAAGCATCCTTCCGGCCAGACATTGCCAATCAGATGCGAAGAATTGTCTCACTATTCAGTGAAACAGGAGCCCCGTTTTCAGTTAATATTTACCCGTTTCTTAACTTATATCAGCAACCAGGAGTCTTCACAATGGGCGATATATTCCTGGATAGACCAAATGAGCGGAATTTCACAGATCCAGGGACTGGCTTGGTCTACACGAATGTGTTTGACAGCACCTATGATGCGATCTTGACAGCGCTTTCAAGGATTGGCTTTCCAGATGTAAGTCATAACCTTTTTTTTTTTGCTGTACCTTGAGGCATATTCACCTCCGCGTCTGTTTGCTCACAGCTGCAAATTATCATTGGCGAGATTGGGTGGCCTTCTGATGCGCAAGGTTCACTCAATGCATATGCCAACAATACGTATGCACAAGAGTTCAACAATGCCATAATCCAGCACATGTTAAGCGGATCAGGCACTCCTTTGCGCCCTGCCAAGCAAATTGGAGGATTCATTTTTGGGTTACTGGACGAAGACATGAAAAGCACATTACCTGGAACCTTTGAGCGGCATTGGGGCATCTTCCGTGCCGATGGAACCCACAAGTACAACTTAGACCTTACAGGGAAAGGCAATCCGAATGCTCAGCTTGTGCCAGCTAAAGACGTGGCATTCTTTTCGCGACAATGGTGCGTGGTGAAGCAAGGAGCTAATCCTGCAAATGTTGCAGCAGCTTTGACATACGTCTGTGGGGGCGATAAAAGTGTGGATTGCACCCCAGTCCTGCCAGGAAGTTCATGCTACTTCAATAACAAACTGGAGGACGTTGCTTCATACGCTTTCAATTCCTACTACCAGCTTCAGAACCAAAGCAAGGCATCATGTGACTTCGGGGGTTCTGCTCAGATTGTCAGCACTGATCCATCGAAGGATGGGTGCATCTTCTTTATTGGCATGGATCAAGCCAGCATGCTGAAAGCCTCTTCAAGAAAACACTGGATCACTCTGACACATGCAGCCTTTGGCAGTACCTTGGCAATGCTGCTGATATGGTTTCTTTGACTTATGGAAAGGGGGGTGATTACTGGGCACAACAGCGTTGTTTTAAAACCAAATGCACCTGACTGACATGTTCAGAGAGGGGGGTGAATTGAGTGGAATGGTCAGCGTTGGCTTGATATCAATTCGATTAAGTTGGCTACACGCAGAAGTAGAGGTGGGTGGGTAGGTTTAATCAGCCACAAGGTTGTGGTGCAACCTCACAGTACTGCTGATGGGAAACATTGGGTGCCCTGGTTCAGACATTGATGAGAACCTGTCTGTCACCTAAAGCAAGTACATGCGATCGCGTTGCTGTCACCACCAAAGGCTGTAACCGTAGTTGCTTGGTTTTATAAAAAGGGTAGTGTTTTGCATGCTGCAATATTACTAGTAAGATGGTTATTGGTCATGTTAGAAAATCGGTGGGAAGCCTAGCAATCAGTACGAGCAATGCAGAATTGGACAACAGTGTCGCGTAGACATGCATCCATATCCAGTGAATGACACTAGTATATGTTCTGTCACCATTGATACGCTGGCAGGTAAGGTGGGGGAGTTACAGCTTCTCCCGCAGGTGGGGACAAGAATGCAGGCGAGGGAGGGGGGGGATAGGCAGGCGGGGGAGGAGTGAAAGGCGGAGGTGCTGCTGGGAGAGGTGGAGGCGGAGAAGACGCAGGATAGGGGTATAATGGAGGGGGGGGTCCAGGAGGTAATGGGGGATAAGAAGAGCTGTCAGGCAGGGGAGGGGGAGGGCCAGCAGGAAGAGGCGGAAGAGGAGGATGGTTGGTTGTACCAGGCGGGAAGAGTGCTTGTGATGGCGGGAGGTAAGGCATAGTAGCAGGAATTGCAGTGGACTGGGTAGGAGGCGGGGGCTGAGGAGGATGGATCACAGACTGGCCATGACTGTACGTATACTGCAATGGTACTTGTGAATATCCTGGAGTCAGGGTGAAAGCTGCTGCTGCTCCGGAATAAGTGGTGGTTAATGGTGGTGCTTCAGCGATAGCTCCTCTTGCTGCTGAGCCTTGATTGTAGTCTTGATACGTGTCCAGCTGCACACCACCACCACCATCATCGCCACACTCACTCTCAATCCCAGCTGCCCATGACAGCACAGCCGAACTAGCACTAGCCCCGACAACCCCCCTTGCGTCTTTAACTGCTCCCGCACTCCCTTCCCCCCTTGGAGGGGCAGCCTCAAAAGCAGAGAACAAAGCAGAAGGCGGATTGGCAGCAGCACCACACGCACCTCCATATCGATCTGTTGCGGAATCGTCATGCCGTCGTGATGAGGTGTCGTAGCGGGATTGGTCCAGATAAGCCCCGTAGGAGCTGCTGCTGCCCACATGCCACCTGTCACGATCCAACTGCCACCGGTCAGAATCAGTGTCGCCAGCTCTGTTCCTCTCTCTTCCCTCATAAGCACCTCTGTCATCCTCAACCCTAATCGGGCTCCACTCCTCCCTCCTCTTCTCATCCGTGTCTCTCTTTCTGTCGCTGCTCCTGTCTCTGTTCCTCTCCCTGCTCCTCTCTTTGGCCCTCTCCTTACTCCTGTCTCTGTTTTTGTCCCTGCTCCTTTCTTTTCCTCTCTCCTTGCTTCTGTCTCTGCCCCTTTCCTTACTCGTCTCTCTTCTCCTCTCCCTGCTTCTCTCCCGTCCCCTCTCCCTGCTTCTATCCCTTCCCCTCTCTCTGCTCCTGTCTCTGCCCCTCTCCCTGCTCCTGTCTTTGCCCCTTTCCCTGCTTCTGTCTCTGCCCCTCTCCCTGCTTCTGTCCCTTCCCCTCTCCTTGCTCCTGTCCCTTCTTCTGTCTCTATCCCCTTCCCTGTCCTTTTCACCCTTCCTATCCCTTCCCGACCTTCCCTCTCTCTCATTCTTACCTCCCTCTCTCTTCTCATCAGCAGAATCATCTCTAGCCATTCTCCTCCGCTTCCTCTCCCTCTCATCCTCATCCCCCCTTCCCTCACCCCTCTCCCTCTCCTCCCTCTCTCTCCTCCTCCGCCGTTCCTCCTCCCACCTCTCATCCTCATACCTCAACCTCCTCCTCCTCTCACTCTCCTCCCAATCCGCCCTCCACGCCCTCCCTCCCCACGCGTATTCATCGCCATCCTCAGGAGGAGGAGCATTCAAACCCGGAAACTCCACAGTGGGAACCAGAAAAGGTTCGGGTTCAGGAGTCGTTTCACGGCCCCCCTCCCCATCCCCATCACCATCAGCATCAGGGGAACCTTCCTCGGAAACATCCTCCAGCACAAGAGCAAGGGACTTGAACTCATTCGGATCTTCAGCAGCAGCAGCAGCAGCTTTCTCTTTGACTGGTTTCCCCTCAGTGCTGGTCTCTGCTGGAATTTCTCCTGCCTCGCTATCACTGTCCTCTCCCTCCTCCTTCAAAGCCTTCTCTGCTGCTGCTGCAGCTGCTTGCTGGCCTTTCACCTCTGCCTTCTCCTCCTCTTCGTCTGCTCATAAGTACACACAGTAGCAGACATTGGTAGGGAGGGCGAGGCACCATCTGAATGAGTCAGCTGAGACTGCAGTTCAGGCTGATTCGAAACAAAAAGAGGCTGGGAAAGAACTGGAAACTAGAAGAAAAGGCTGGAACAAGGAAGGAACAAGAAAGCAGCTCCAGACAAAAATACAGGAGGGATAAGGGGGGGCGGGCGGAAGTGAACGCAATGACCTAGAGGCCTAATGATTCTCCCAGCCGAAGAAAAGAGACAGTTTACAGCCCAGATAGCCAGGCGGGTGGCCCAGCTCTCAAAGTCAGCTCTTGAGTCAACTCTTGAGTCAACTCCATCATGTAGGGCCAAGAATTACAGCCAAGATAGTCGGGCGGGTACCTTAGCTCTCAAACTAGTTTCTAATCGACTAAATTAAATCCGCTCCTAAGTCAACTCCCTCTAGTTGGGTCAACACTTACAGCCAAGATAGCCAGGCGGGTAACCCAGCTCCCTCATTCGCCTGAGCCACGGAGGGGGGTCACGATCCTGCAGAGGAGGCGGGGATGAAAGGAAACAAAGGGGGATGTAGAAAGTTGGGTTTTGATGGCCACAGCGAGCAAGCCAGGCGGGTAACCCAGCTCCCTCATTCGCCTGAGCCACGGAGGGGGGTCGCGCTCCTGGAGAGGAGGCGGGGATGAAAGGAAACACAGGGGGATGTAGAAAGTTGGGTTTTGATGGCCACAGCGAGCAAGCCAGGCGGGTAACCCAGCTCCCTCATTCGCCTGAGCCACGGAGGGGGGTCGCGCTCCTGGAGAGGAGGCGGGGATGAAAGGAAACACAGGGGGATGTAGAAAGTTGGGTTTTGATGGCCACAGCGAGCAAACCAGGAGGGTGCCCCAGCTCTCTCATTCGCCTGAGCCACGGAGGGGGGTCGCGATCCTGCAGAGGATGGGGACACAAAAAAGAAATGAAGGAGATTTGTGAATGAATAGGCAGAAGAGAAGGAGGTGCGTGAGGAGGGAGGGGGGAGGAAATCATCCCTATGTCCATGGTAACACAAAGCTCCGCACGCACTCAGGACACCCGACAGCAGCCCCTGAACCTGAAATATCTACCATCCCTCCTTAAGCCTCACCTTTACCAGCGCACAAACTCACCTCAAGTCCCCTAGCGCATACCAAATCACTCACCCCTATGCCCATGGCAGCACGCAGCTCCGCACTCAACACACCCGGCAGCAGGCCCTCAAACGTCTCCTCTCTTCCATCCATCCCTCGTTAGCTTCACCCGTGTCAAGGCTACCACCAGCACACTCCACCCCAACCCACCTCGATTGCCCTGTTGCCCGAAGTTAGACTCACCGCGATGCCCATGGCACCACGCAGCTCCACATTCAGCACACCCGGCAGCAGCCCCTGAACCTGAACCTGGACCCCCCCCTCCATCCGTCCTCGAGTCTCACCTTTACCAGCAGCACGCACAAGCACACCTCAAACCCATCTCACGCATGCCGAAACACTCACCCCAATGCCCATGGCAGCCCGTAGCTCCGCACTCAGCACACCCGGCACGAGCCCTTCAAACCTCTCCTCCATCGATCCTCCTCTCCCCTTCCCGCCCCCCGCCCCTCCAAACCCGTAATACCTCGACTTCCCCACCCCTCCCTCCCCAGCAGCACTGTTCCCACCCTTCCCACCCTGCCCGCCCTGCCCCTTCCCCCCTGCGTGTTCTGCTCGGGCGGCTGCTACAGCAGCATGGTCCCTTGGCCGCTGGCAGTCCCGCAGGGCGTGAGTGTAGGAGCCGCAGTTGAAGCAGCGGGCGGCAGATTTTAACTTGAGCGCCTCCTCTGTGAGAGAGGAGTCTGAGTGGAGGAAGAGGCGTGTGAGGCTGGAAAGGTCCCCTCCTGCTGCTGCTACTGCTGCCGCCCCTGCTGCCACTCCTGCTGCTGCTGCTGCTGCTGCTGCTGCTCCTGCTGCTACTGCTGCTGCTGCTTCTGGTGCTGTGTCAGAGGGAGCGTTAGTGTCATTTTCTGTCTCGTTACTGCCTGCACCTATACCTGCGCTCTTGCTGCTGTTGCTGCTGTAGTTGATGCCTAGAACGACGCCTGATTCTGACCTATCATAGAGAGGCACGTCGTTGGCTGTGCTGTAGTGCTTATTGAACGTGACACCACTGCGAACACCTGCCAGACCCACACCGCTGCTGCTGAGCTTCGCCTTTGCTGCGTCACTAGCAACAACTGCAGCAGCAGCGGCAGCAACAGAGCCTGCGACAGCAGCACTTGCAACAGCAGCACTCACTGCTGCACTGTTCAAAGCAGCATCAGCAGTGGAATCTCCAGCAGCAGCAGCGGAGACACCAGCACCATCACCGCTACGAGATGCAACAGCACCTGCAACATCGGTACCAGCAACAGCACCAGCATCAGCATCAGCATGAGCATCCACAGCAGCACCAGCAGCACCAACAGCACCAGAAGAGCCAGTAGGAGGCTCAGCAGCAGCAGGTGGCGGTTGTGGCTGCTTCGGAGGAGGCGAAGAGGGAAGCAGTGGCTTGGGTGGGGGTAGAGAGGCCCATACACGCTGCATGGGAGGAGTGAGGAGGAGGGAGAAGGTGAGAGAGAGGGAGAAGGGAAGGGAGAGGGAAGAAGGGAAGAGAGCAGGAAAAGGGAAAAAGAAAGAGGCAAGACAATGAAGGGAAGGAAGCCGACTATGCACGAAAAAGAACGCACATCGATCCAGACCACTCGCCAGAACAAAACACATTGGCTCAGTGTACAATGATAACATACCCTGGATTTAAGCCACGTGGGTTTTGCCAGGATAAAGTGTATCACTTGAACTGCGCGGGAGTGAAGCAACTCAACCAGGCTTCCTCTTGTCCGTGCCAAAGACAACATGAGCCAGTGCCTTTCAGACCACCAAAAAAGGAAAAAGCAACCCGTGATCGGTGCTACAGCCAGCACCAATCCAATCCAACCACCAACAAAGGAAAACCGCACCCCACAAAAAGAAAGCAACCCACCAACAAAAAAGAAACCAACCCACGCTCTGAAGCTCCAGGAGAACGAAACGAACCCACCAGTGGTGCTACAGCCAACCAACACAATCCCTCCACCAAGAGAAGAAAGAAACCCACCAGTGGTGCTATGGATCCACGCTCTGAAGCCCCAGGAGAGCGAAACGAGCCCACCGGACCAAGGCGAGAGAGCACAGAGGGGACTGCTGAGGAGGGCCCTGAGGAAGGGAAGTAGACGTCTGTTCCACTCAGCCTCGTGCTCTGCTGCTCCTGACCCTCGCGTTCCTGCAGGTGTCATCCATAAGATAGAGGAGAGGAGATGAGAGGAGAGGAGAGGATAGGAGAGGAGAGAGATGGAGAGAGAAGAGGAAAGAAGACGAACAAGAGGAAGCCACAAGCTGCAATCGGTCCAGTGGTAGATGGCAGCACGAGATGATAAGTTATAGTTTAAAATTAACAGGAGAGAGCCTTTGGTTGAGCAGTGTATGCTTTGTTGTGCTTACAACGGAGTGATATTATTCTTGAACATGATCGGGTCTGTGGTTACAGTGAATAAAGTCTTTGCTTACAGCGAATGGGGTTTGAGTGGACTCCCATGATGACCACGAGGACAGAAGATTCTGAAGATGATCCAAACTTGCCCTAAGACCACATCAACATTGCAGATTCGCAGACATGTCAGATGCATCACAACAGGCGCATGGTCAGTCACAGGCATAGTCACATGCATGGTCACAGCCCAGTTTGCAAGATCATGAGCATAGGAGGATGGACTATGCAAAACTACAGGGTCTTTGGCAGTCTTGCATCCTCAGTAATTCATACAGAGATATGATTGGCACAAGCCCAGCAACGAGCCTACTGTACGCGTTTCTTGTAAAGAACGCATGAATGTCGGACAAATGCCACATGAACGACAGGCAAATGTCACGTGAATGAAAGACAAATGTCACGTGAATGCCAGACGTCCTCTCAATGTCAGAAAAAATGCCATGTGGATTGACAGAAGTCATATATATGTCACGTAGTGCCAAACAGAAATGTAACTTCAAATGTCAGGCAACGATGTCAGGAAACGTCAGATTGATGTCACATGAACATCACATAAATGTCACATGACTTGTACACAGATCTCAGTGCTTACTTTGACAGATTCTCGTAGTGCACACGCACATATGGCCCTTTCTCCCAACCTCGTCGTCGCTTGCGGTGGTGGTGGTGCAAATGGGGTGCTTGTGATGCATCCTCCATATTACCCATACTCAACTCGGAGTAGTCACCGCCGAGTAACTGATAGCAAATCAAGAGAGGAAACAATTCATGGTTTCTGGAAATAAAATTATGGGTGATCAAAAGAACAAAAACAAGAACATCTGGCAAAAAATGAATGGCGAAAATGGCTGGGGTAGCGAGAAGAAACAGGGAGATAAGAATAGCTTGGTAGAAAACATAGCGACGAGAAAATAAGTAACGAGAGGAGAAGAAGGGTTGAGAGGAGTAGAAACTTTGAATCTATAATGAAAGGCATCGTAAAAAAGGAAAGCGAAGCGCGATGAAGGTCGGATGGTCCGAAAGAAGCATGGTATGATGAACTGACATTGACAGCTCAAAGATCGTCACGGGTGTGGAGAACGCGAGGAAAACACCAATCTGGCTAATGAGCAACTGGAAGCGCACGAGAAGCTAAGAATGGACAGACGCTAGGAGGCGACGACGCCACTCTTCAACTAATCGAACCAGGAATTAGGAGTTCAGACTAGGACGACCGAAACGAGCTCCCTGCGAGTTCATGTGTGGATGTAGGAGAAACAGAAGCGGAAGACTACCGATGGAAAGAAAGACCTACCAGTATGTCAGAAATCACAAGCTCGGAAATTTTGTTCAGAATAAGGTCAGGAGTCAGGACTAAGGCGTGATCACCTTTTCACCCGTGTCTTGCAGGAGGATTAGAGGCTTTCAGTAGGGTTTCGAGCAATATAGCGTGGATGCAGTGTGGCGACGAGTCCACCTTACACCACCTCGAGATTACCACCCGCGTGGCGCAAACTGGCCACTATCTCTTCTGTTAGCGCGGTTGAGAAGTTCTTCGGCTTCCTGATGCTTCAAAAGGGATCTGAAACGGTTGAGTAAAGCTGCGAGCTTCGATCTCGCGGGGACCTGATTCCATCGATCTGGTGTCGGAGTGTTCTTTCTGACAAGATCGAGGTGGCTTATGAAAACTCCCAACACAGCTAAGACTGTTAATGCTTGTATGCACTTGTATAGTGTTCTATAGTGTATCTCGCATTTCCTAAATAAAAAACATGAGAACTCCAACACTTCATACACCCGAAAGCTTGTCCGTTCAGTTTGCCTACATTCTAATAACAAAGAAACACTCCGTTCAAAGAACAATACCTACCGTATTTTCTATCCACATATGCTAGCGCTCATTTGCTCGGTGGCATCACATTTGTTGTTCCTGTTCCATAAGTCGCCTTGCTTCCAAGCTCTTCCTCAATCCGTAAAAGCTGCAACCATCAAACCCAAGAGATATCGACCAGAGAACCATCAGACGGCATATAAGAACCATGACGCAAGAAAACTTTAAGAATTTATAACCCGGCCAACCCAATAAAGCAGCTCTTGAACAGGCTTTTCCTCTTTTCCCCCTTTCTGAAGGAAGCATGCATCACCTGGTTATATTTGGCGCATCGTTCGCCCCGACACACGCCCCCGGCCTTGATTCGCTGGGCTCCCATGCCCACTGCCACGTCAGCAAGCATGCAGTCCTCCGTGTCCCCCTGCCGCCCCACCCCACCTGCCACCACCACTGCCCACCCCGCTGCCCTTGCTGCCTTGGCCACCTCTAGGGCCTCTGAGAGAGTGCCGATTAGGGGGAGCTGGAGGGGAGAAGTGGGGGTGAGAAGAGGGGGGGAGAAGAGGGGGAAGAGAGAAGAGAGAATGGCGATATTGGTTTCACCTGCTCTCGCTGCCTTGGCCACCTCTAAAGCTTCTGAGAGAGTGCCGATCAGGGGGAGCTGGTGGGAGGGGGAGAGAAGAGGGGGGCAGAGAGAAGAAAGATTGCAACGTTGGCTTCACATGCAACGTTGCTCTTACTGCCTTGGCCACCTCTAGGGCCTAATGACAATGCTATGCCACTGCATGTGATGTGGTGCAATGCTGTGCAATGGGGTACCTCTCACGTTGATGGCAACGCCACTGCAGATGTGGTTCAACAGGGTGCAATGCGGTGCAATGAGGGATTTCTCACCTTGACGGCAATGCAACTGCACTTGATGTGGTTCAACAGGGTGTAATGCGGTGCAATGTATTGCAGAGCGGTGCAATGGGCACAGCTCACCTTAATGGCGATGCCACTGCACATGATGCAGTGTGGTGCAATGCAGTACCACTCACCTTTATTGCAATGCCACTGCATGTGCGCCTCTCAATGGCTTGGGCCAGTCGCTTGGCATTGGAGGTCAAAAGGTCATTGCCCAACATGTGCTCGTGATACGGTGTAATGCGGTGCCTCGCGGTGCAATGAGGTACCGCTCACTTACCTTGATGGCGATGCCACTGCACGTGCGTCTCTCGATCGCTTGCGCCAGTCGCTTGGCATTTGA